TCCGTTTATACAAGAATCTGATGTTCTGCAAGTGGTTCATTGGTTTTCTCGTGGACTTTTCTTCCAGTATCACCCCTTGAACTTTGAAATGTGTCGAAATAAACATCGACTTTTGCAGCTTTTGTCAAAAATGTCATGTCCGACTTCTCTAATTGACTCGATCCACTGTGGGCCGTCAGCAAACTTTCTTTCTAAGACGCACAGTGGATCGAATTGACGGCAGAGGTCGGAAATTTAGAAACTTTAAAAGCTTATAACTCCGTTCATACAAAACTTCAAGGTTCTAAAAGTCGCTCCACTGGTTTCCTCGTGAAATTTTCATCCGTAAGCACCCCTTGAAATTTAAAATGTGACGAGATAAACATCAGAATTTGTAGTTTCAGTTAAACATTTTAAATCCGACTTCTCTGGTTAACTCCATCCGAGACGTCTGAAAATGTTTGTTTACGTTCATAACACAGGCCCGCGCCAGGAAGAAAACTGCTGAGAGTGTGAAAGTTACGGCCCATTCAATTTTTAGCGCTGAGTCTGAAGATTACCTTAGTTTTCTCTCTTTTCCATCAGTATTCCGGAAAATTGATATTTATCCACAAAAAATTCTCAAAGGAAATTTCAAGAACCAACGTTACTTTCAAATTTAGCAGTCGATAATGAATTGATAAGCATGTATCGTATATATTTAGAATATTTTCGTTCGCTGTGTCTGATAAACGAGATTTCTTAGGCTTATTGGCCTAATTCACCATGTTCCATTGTGCTCCCGTGTAAAATTGATCACTTTTTCTTGCTTCCGAAAGGACGGGAAATTCGGTTTTCTCAGGATTTCAGATATCTTACCAGACTACTCGATTACTTTACGCTGATGAAGTTCAATTTTACCTTGAGGGTTTTCCCTATCACTTACCAAATTTCGAAAAATTCGATTTTTTTTTTTTTTTTTTTTTTTTTTTTTTTTTTTTTTTTTTTTAAGCGCCAATTTTTGATGCCAAAAAAGCAACATTTCAGTGGCTGGTTCGCTCCTCCCTAACATTAGACTCGCTCATGAAGGATTAATAGGCTCCTGGCCTCACAATTTTTTCAGCTACGTTTATGTACAGGACAAATACTACCTCTTAATATTACTTAAGAGCGCCGTGCCAGTTCTCACAGAGACTTAAATTCAACTGCCGTACATCAGCTCTCGAACTTTTTCTCTCAACACTCAAAAGAATCAGTGATAACAAGTCATTCGAGTGAGGAGAGGCTCCAAAACCCAAATGAATTGAACTATGAGGTGGCAGTGCACAACAGAGAGATGCAAAATTTAAACATGTTATTTGTGAATAAAAAATAACTTAAGAACGCCTAGAAGTAAAAACTCAATTTAGAAATTTCGAAAGAAAGAAAAATTGAATTTTTGAAAAAATTTGAAAAAAATTTGTCGAGGTTTTTGTCGAATTCTCCTTTGTTTGTTGCGGATTGCATGTACTAGACCCCTTAAGCATTCGTTGAAATCAGATGGACTTTTATTTGAAATAAGAAATTTCCCCCGTAAAACTATGCACGTAATTGCATTTTGCAATCCTTGAATTCACTCGAAGTTTCTTCCTTTCGTTCGGCGTGCAATTTACCGTTCAGATTGTTAAAATAGTTGCTCTGAAGTTGTTGCAGGGAAGATAAAGGGTTTTCGCTAATCTCATCCATTGCTTTGTTGCATCTTATTTTCAACGACAGTCTCCCATTTGAGAGATCTCTTGCAGGTTGATTCAAGGCAATACAATTTTATTGAAAGACTTTAAAAAATAAATTTATATTTATTCAAACAATTGATATTTACACAGAAATAAACACATTATTAAAACATTACATCTCTCTTTAAGTAAGAGGAATAAAGGAAAAAAAGAAAACAAATTCAGTCGGTCAGAAAAACAGCAGAGTCTTGATTATCCGCGATTCAAAGTAGGTATCCGCGGGGTTTTTTTTTCGGTGGCTCTTTTGTGATTAGCTGAGTGTTTTAAGGGGGCCTTTCAAAATACAGCTTTTTCAATAAGTTTTCCTGGTCAAATAGCTCACAATTAGTTAATCAGATTATCCACGTTACAGTTCCGGTCGCCCAAATGACTCTGCTGTATTCTGTCAGGTAACATAGAAATTCTTCCAGCTAAAAGGAAGAGAACAACCAGCTTACAAATAAAATGTGAATAAACAAGAATTCACAGTTGCTTAAAGACTAATATGAGGTCTGGAAAAAAAAAGGATTTTTCAAGAGAAGAAGCTGGGGTTTTCCATTTCTCTCCCCTCCTTTATATTTAATAGAGATCGAAGTGCGCCATCATAACAAGGAGTAACGACAAGACAAACGAAATTGTGAAGAAAAAAGTGATCTCGAACTTTAACAGAAACTCAACGACTGTAAATAGCTTTTTCCCCAGCTGTTTTCATGAGATTTCACTTACTTATTCGTAACACTGTTGTTGTGAAACGGGGAAAAAATGTTTGTACCAGATTTTAAGAGAAACGTGCTCTGAAAACACTATTAAACAAAAACAAATACAAAAAAACTCCGGAACGTTGAGTTTTTAAATTTTAGATTATGAATACAGAAGATACAAGTAAAGGGGGAGGGAAGGCTAAAAAGCAGTTGCACTAGCTAACAAGAAACGATTTTTAGGTCACAGCAAAAACATTTAGTTTTTTAAAATGGCGATAGATCAGTAGGTACTGTTTTATTTCTATGTACATAATTATAAAAATAAACACGAAATGGAAAAGAAATCTGCAAAAAGTAAGTGTTACGAGGAATTATGCTTGGGAACAATTTTATCCTCATTTAATGCGCATTTTCATAAAAAAAAAAATGGTCTTATTGCGTAAGCAAAGAACCCGCTCTAAGTGCTTTTCAATCAGCATCAAATTAACGTCAGTTCGTTTTTAAATAAACACAAATTAATTACAAAAATGTAAAGTTTACGTATACTTTGCTTTTTTTGAAAGTAAATAAAAGTACCTCAGTAGTCCTTGCAAAAACAAGAGATATATTATAAGATGAGATCCTGAATTAGTTCTGAATGAATTTCTTGCAAGATTCAAGAAGATCCGATTTAACCAACGAATCCTCTGCGAGAAATTCGATAACTAAGGAACATTTTCTCTTAAAACTTTGTGAATACACGCTTTAAAATCTAGAGAGAATTCACATAAATGCTCAAGGCAGCGTGTTTTTAAATTTCTGTTGAAAAAATACAACGTGACAGAAAACTAGGCTGCACAAAACACAGTCACCTAACTGATTCAGCCTGAGAATCAGCCTGTGTGCATATCATGTTGCATAATTTCCTCCCATGTTCAATTGTTTTACAGGAAAATTAAGTAACATCACGCCTCGAAACTTTCTACGAATTGCCCCTGGAGTTTAAAGAAGATTCACACAATTCCAAAGCAAATGCTGCAAGTATCTGTCATAAAAAGTCAAATTGGTAACTGAACTAATTTTTTCGAGCACTGTAATTTTAGGGCCGAAATAGACCATTTATCGCCACCCTCTGACCGAAGTATCTCTAGTCTAGCGCCATTATCAATTAGATGCCAAGTTGCCTGACATCTCAATATCGTTTTAGTCTTTTCTTTAAATTCATAAAAATGTCGGGGATCAATTTTGATGACATAAGAGATATTATGTAAAATTTTAAAGTGATGACGTTCATTAGTTTTCCGGTGGAAATTTGACAAGGTTGAGACGTTTGACGATATGGTGCCCAATCAAAAATGAACCGCGTCAAGGAGAAAGGAACCTAGCCACATTAGTTAATGCCTTTGATTGGGCAATTTAATTTTTTACATGAAAACGGTTGTGCGGATTTTTGTGCGAATTTCAGTAAATTTTTTGCATAGCGCGAAGTAAATTCCTCCAAATTTTCAAAGTAATCCGCTCGAACGTTCTCCTGTGACTAATTAAATTGCCCAATCAAAAGCTGGTTCCTCTCTGCTTGACGCGGTCCAAACGACGCTTGTGACTGTGGCGTGAGGGTGACGCCATGTTACGTCCTTTTGACGGCTTAAGGCGTAGACACACCCGCGAGTTACAAGCGCTTGTTGAAAGTGCAACACCAATAAGCCAGGAGGATTTCGATAGCGCAACATCGTACGATCGAAATCCTGGTATCCCATTGGTGCTCGGCTTTCAACGAGCGTTTGTAACTCGCAGGTGTATCTGGCGCTTTAAGGTGATTCGTCAAACTCGAGTGACGTGGTCGAACTGGCATGCGATCTATCGCATCTTTCAGGTCAAAAATCTCGGCAGATTTTGAATTTTCAGCAAAAAGAAGGACGATAGACCCTGCGCATGAGCCTAAAGAATCATTCTAAACCCAAAAATCGGCAAAATTCAGAGAAATGAAAGCAGAATAGGGTTTGGAAAAAAACCTCGAATTTGATTCAGCTATCGATTTCTGTATCGAATGCGAGGTTTTCTTCCGAACACTATTCTGCCTTCATCTCTCTGAATTTTGCCGATTTTTGGGTTTAGAGTGATTCTTTAGGCTCATGCGCAGGGGCTATCGTCCTTTTCTTGCTGAAAATTCAAAATCTGCCGAGATTTTTGACCTGAAAGATGCGATATATCGCATGCCAGTTCGACCACTTCTTTCGAGCTTGACGAATCACCTTAAGACCCAGACACACCTGCGAGTCACAAGCGCTTGCTGAGAGTGCAACACCAATAGGCCAGGAGGATTTCGATAGCGCAACGTCGTGCGATCTGAATCCTGGTATCCCATTGGTGCTCCGCTTTCAACGAGCGTTTGTATCTCGCAGGTGTATCAGCGGGCCGATTATTCAAATTGATCGACAAAGCTACGGACAAAGGAAACAAAAGAGATATGGAGAGATCCTTTTGGTGGAAACGGGTTGTTGCAACGGACAAAAGGAGGTAGGTAAATAGACTAACTAACGGCAACCCGCGAGAAACCCGACAGTTAGTCCATCATTTTCTCCCTTTGTCGATAGGAACCACCGATTCCAACCAATAAGATCGCTCCATACTCCCTATGTCTTCTTTGTCTGTAGCATGTCGATCAATTTGAATAATCGGCCCGCTGGCGCTCTAAGATTCGGCCGGAAGTTTCGTCGATCCTTACCGATTCTGGGGATTCTTTGCCGTTCTCTGACTTCTTCGAACCTCTTTGTCGACTTCGTCCAGGATTTTCGGCTAGGCGACCTGGTCCTGGTCGTCGGAGGGTGCCTCTCGAGCCAGAGGCACCAGAGCCGACTTGGACCCGGACTCCTCGCTTGTCTCGATCGCAGCGACGACGTTGTCCAGTATCGTCGCCCTCAGCTTCATCCTCTGCAGCAGCCCCAGTTTCTTCATGTACGGCAGCAGACTCCTGAAGAACATCATGTCGTCGTCCTCTTCCTCCCTGCTTTTGCTCAAGTTTTGAGACTTGCGTTTTTTCGCACTTAATCTTCTCTTCTTCTTGCCGCCGCTGCACGTGAGACACTGGAGATCGCTGCGACCTCCACTCTCCCGCTGTCTCGTGTCCACCTCCTCGTCATCGTCGTCTTGCTCGCAGTCGTCGGGCGATCCCCCCTCTTCTGCCTGGGGGTTCTTCTGCGGTCTCGGTCTCATGACGTCCGCCAAGAAGCTCATCTCGTCGAAGTAGATCCACCTGGAGACCGGCCTCAGCGCCGGATTCCCCTCTGAGATGACTCGCGATTTGAAGGTTTCGATGTCCTTGGACTTTCTTCGGAATATGTCCCGCAGGATCTCCCAGTTTTTCCGAGCGATTTCTCCTGCGGGGAAGAATCGAAATTAATGGGAGGAATGGAGAATTTAAATCGGAGGTTTGGCACCCGAGCGGTTTCGGGCGCTTCCATGGTAACGGGGTGGGCCGGGAACCTCGATGGAAAATTGTCACATTTTGGAAGGAAAATTTCACGGTAAGGTTGACAAAGAATTTAGCTCATTCTGGACATTCGGTTTTACATCGGGTTGTCCCGGGGTTACATGTTATTAAATAGGCGACAACAGCAATACACAAGAGGGACGCAAGCATTTTCTTCACTGTAAAATTTGTTTAACTTTAAAATTTTTGGGTAGAAGGAAACGGGCAGGCATGCCGCTCCAAGGTTACTAACTTCAATGCGTCTGTTGCCAGATGATTGTTCTTCTTTTTTGCTTCGGAAAGGAATTTAACTTTTGACGTCGCTTGTGATTTTTTAATTTCTTAATAGGTAATTTTTCGAAATTCAGACCTTGGAATCCGACTCACTCATTTTGTAAAGTAAGCGGAAAAGAAGAAATCGAACATTAATTTAGTGTTGGATGAAAGTAAGCTAGTCATTTCTGGAAGAGAGCATATCCATTTTCAGGAGAATTATAGGCTACATAAAAATACGAGCATTGAAAGGCTCATCTAAAAAAAACCCTAAGTAGCCTAGGTTGCAAAAAATTGCGATTAAGCGAATATGTTACAATTGGAGGGCATTTATCAGAACTTCATTTTACATCGCCTTAATTCTTCTCATTTTTTTTCTTTAAACACAAAAACTACACAACATGATACCTACGAATTGTCTGTGAATTTTATTCGAATTGTACGGACTTTGCTCATGAAATTTTAAGTCAGAGCATTGCTTAGTTTTCTGTGTGTAAAATGTAACATGAGAGAAAATTCAGTGAAGTTTGATGCATGTTAAGTTAAGCTGATTTTGGTTCAATCAGTCAACCTGCTATATCATTGGAGGGGCTTGGAGGACAAGGCGCATAAGTGCAGTTTTTGAAAAAATTGAGATATCAATGATTTCAAGTAAAACTAGTCTTGACGTATATTATATGTGAAAAATTTGCTTCCAAATTTTAATTTCTAAGAATCAAAACGTCAGCTTGAACTCTCTTTCCGTCCCCTGGTAAAAATTGGCGATAGGAGCTGCGTTTCAAAATACCATAGGAGTTCTTATAGCCGACTAAAAAAGGCTATTTAAAATCATAAAGCTGGCTGTAGAAAGCGGAGCAAATCATGTAGCCGAGCCGTACGAAGCTATGAAAAAGTACACAGTCGGGCTATAGTTCCTATCGCCGGGCTTTACACTTTATCGCCATTGGCTGTAAAATGCTGTAAGAAATAGTGTAGAAATTCGTGTGCTTTGGAAATCATTAAGTTTAATACGGAGCTACCTTAATATTAACACACATAAACACACATTATATTTTCCATTAAAACATATTTGTTTCATCAATTAAAATGAAAGTAATCCATACAGGATGTGCAAACATTTCCAAATCATGAGTTGAAAGACGCTGACTCCGCGGGATTAAATATTAGAGTCTAACACTAAGCGGAACGGCGACGCACTGGCGCGGCGCCTACAAACCTAACAGGGATACTTCACGCATTGCGCAACGCGTGAAGTATCCCTGTTAGGTTTGTAGGCGCGAATGCGCGTTCCGCGCTCTCTGCCCGCCCGCCGCGCCGCGTGCCACGTGAAGCAACTATTTCACACCAGAGGTATTGCACAGTATCATAAGAAATTGAAGGCGCTCCAACATATTAAGAATGACAGGCATCCTTCAAAAGTACGGAGCTTTCCTCTCAAAATTAATCAAGATACTACGGCACAAAAAGAGAGCGGTAGTCCAAAAACTAACTAAGTGCTAGTATCCGTATTAACGTTTAGCATAAACTTTATCGTCTGGCTGTTGCTTAATCGCCATCGGCTATAAAAGGCTATAAGAAATTGTACAGCCGGCTACAGAAGCTATTGGAAATCTTACAGCCGGCTTTAGGTCTATGGTATTTAGGAACACGGATTCTACTGCCAATCTTTACCAGGGTCGTAAAGATCCATTTTATTTCAAAAACTTCTAACACGTATATCTCGAAATAGCAAAAACTGCACTTAACGCGCCTTGTCCTTGAAGCCCCCTATTTGCACTGCCTCATGACGTTGTGTTTGATGTCTATCTACCATTTGAAGGGGCTGCTAGTGGAATCGATAGTGTATTAAAATTAAAATCAGTTGCAATTTTTCGTTTTATTGAAAATTGCCTATCTTCCCTCGTTTCAAATCGCCACTCACAAATTCTGCAAACATATTCGGAATTCACGGCTGAGAAATCGCAACTTTTATTTCAATATTCTCGTCACAAAACGTTACTCAGGACGTCAGAAGCGGATCCAGCAATTCGGCAACACTGGGTTTCCTCCATTTAAACCTATGTTAAATAATCGATTCTTGTCGGAGTACCCGGCCCTTCCAAAATCGATACTTTTCCATGGGTTTAAGGTGATTCGTCAAGGTCAAGTGACGTGGTCGAACTGGCATGCTATATTTCGCATCAATTAGGTCAAAAATTTCGGTCGATTTTGACTTTTTAGCGAAAAAAAGAAAGAAAAGCGCAATCGATTCAGCCATCGATTTCTGTATCGAATGCGAGGTTTTTTTCCAAACACTATTCTGCTTTCATTTCTCGGAATTTTGTTGATTTTTGGGTTTAGAATGATTCTTTAGGCTCATGCGCAGGGGCTATCGTCCTTTTTTTCGCTAAAAATTCAAAATCTACCGAGATTTTTGACCTAATCGACGCGATATATCGCGTGCCAGTTCGACCACGTCACTTGAGCTTGACGAATCACCTTAAATGGAGAAAAACAATGTTGCCAATTTGCTGGATCCGCCCATGCGAGGACGTATGCATATTGCATATGCACTTACCGGTGACGCCGAGTTCTTGTCCGACGTCGTCCCACAGTCGGGTCCGCATTTCGCGGCTCCGGTAATGTCGGTCCTGCGGGTCCCACAGCGACGATCGCTGACGCACCAGTCCGATCAACACACTTCTGTCCACCATTTCGATGTTCGATTTCATGCGATAGGAAATGAGTTCACCAGTTCACAACGACTCCTCTTTGTTATGGTGTTTTGCCGCGGTGATAAAAAAAAAACTGTCACGTGCTGTGTAGGCTCAGGCTGAGGCCAGACTAGTTCCGACAGCTGCCGACGCTTCCCGGCGGAGGGGAGTTGGAGCCGCACATCGATGCGCGTTGTTGCGCTGTTCCCCCTCATCATGGTGGGAATGGAGTGAGGGGCGACGCACAGTGGATCGTGTCAATTTGAGAGAACGGACATGATATTTTTGACTAAAACTGCAAATTTTGATGTTTATTTCGTCACATTTTAAAAATTGAGAGGTGCTTATAAGAGAAAATTTCACGAGGAAATCGATGAAACACTTTTAGAACCTCAGAGTTTTGTATTAGCGGAGTTATAAGCGTTTAAAGTTTCCAAATTTTGTCCGACCTCTCCTATTGACTCGATCCAGTGATCCACAGTGCGACGGAAGGGTGTCGAGGTATACGCTTATTCTATTCTATCCGATCCGACCCGACCAGACGCCGCCAAAGCCGCCCTACCATCACGCTCAGACGGACTGTGTCTGAATGTCTGAATCGTCTGAATCGTCTGATGATGTGCTATCCGCGCTTCGATTATCCGCGGTTTTTAGTGTTTTTACTGAAGCAAATAGGTACACTATTCTGCCGTGCCAAGGAAGAACGTCGTATGGACCTTCAGGCGTTGCTAAATTTCTCCTGGCAAATCACTAATTTTTAGGAGAATTTTTGAATATTTGTCTTCCAATTTCTCAGATAACTTTGTTTGTAATTTGATCCGAAGTTTCTATAAATTTCGAGGAAAAATTCACAAATTTCCTCAAAAATGAACGTTTAATCGAAGGAAATTTGGCAACTCTCGAATGTTCATACGGCGTTCTTGCTTAGTACAGTAGTACTGTTTTTCGGTGGTTTTTTTTTTTGTAATAAAGTCACTTAAACACCACTGAAACACTAAAATGTGTGATACAAAGAATGATGTCTGCCAAAATAACTTCTTCCAAGGTATTTATTCTTTTTTGACTAGACGCAGCCCACATTTCGATTATCCGCGCGCGGTTTTTTTCTCGGTGGCTTTCTTGTAACAAAGTCACTTAAAAACCACTGGAACACTGAAAATGTGTTAGAAAGAATGATGTTTGCCAAAATAACTCTTCCAAGGCATTTATTCTTTTTTAACCAGACGCTGCCCACATTTCAGGAGGGAAAGAGTAGAACATGATATGATATTACCGCTAATATATTTTCCGCCCCCTTCTAATTAGTTTTGAAACATCAATGAGAACCATCAAATGTACGTGCCGGAGGAGGGAGGGGGTGCATAAGACGCGTTTACTCGTGTTGGGCACATTTTTTGTGAAAGCCCTATCAACGCTAGCAAAAGTTCACGGAACTTTGCGCGAAAGTTAAGTTCCGTAAACCTATATCTCTGTGTGGACAAGGCCTCCCATTTATCAGAAATAAACGAAACAATTATGAAAGAACAAACATGAATGTGGTTTCATAATTTTAACTTCCGCCGCTGCGCCGACCGCATCACGGAAAAAATTAAATTGCTGATTTAACAATTTTGTAGGTGAAAAAAAGCGACTGCAATGTTTCAATGTAGATATTACAAAAAAATGCTATTTTAATCACCCCCGTGGTTACATTGGCTTTCCACTAGTGTAAAATGCACATTTGAAACATTGCAGTCACTTTTTTTTAACAATTTAATTGTTAAATCAGCAATGCATTTTTCCGGTGGCACTGTATTTGACGCAATGCGTGAAGTATTCGTACAGTCTTGTAGGCGCTAATATGCTTTCCGCACACCGATCGCTGACTGCACTGTTTTTGATGCAATGCGTGAAGTATTGATGCAGTCTTGCAGGCGCTGATACGTGTTTCGTGTCGACCGCCGCGCCGTGAGCTTCTCGTTTTCAACTCAAGTCCTCGTCATAATTGTTCTCCGCGCCGCGCCGCTTCAGGCCAAATTGCGTGTTTGGTTCCTCTTTCAACTCGAATAATTCAAGGTGCTGTCTCTTGTGTCACCGAAAGACAACAAAATTAGAAATTAATTTATTTTTACTCTCAGAAAATGAGAGATTTTATCGCATTTTCTCGTTTGTAATTTTTTTTTATGAATCCTTTTTTTTTCCTTCTTCTTTTTTTTTGACACGCACTTTTAAAGAAAATCGCAAAATTTTCCGCCGTGAGCCGCGGCCTACGTAGCCAACCCCTAAACACGACCCTGATAGAGAAAGTGGAGATTGTAATTGTGAGAACTTACGAAGAGGAGGAGCTGTCGTTATGAGCCGGAATAAAATGCAGAAACTGAAAATTGCGAGGTACATGTTGGGACCGGTCTCGTGGGTGGTTGGTCCCGGTGTGGTTGGAAGGTTTTTCCGACTCAACTCGCAGCTCAGATGTCATCGGCAGTTATCTCCTCGAGCCCTGTCTCCACGTCTTTCCCACAGTTTAATGGCCCTGATTTTTCCGCGCGGCTGTCCAATCGTGTCTCAATAATTTTCTCACTTTCAGTCAGCGCTTTGCTTAACCTTGTCTGTCGATGGGTCCCTGAGTTACGGCCAGTTACGGCCACACTCGCGGAGACGTTCGCTTATTTATCAGTGGCGTGGCGTGAATTGCGATATATCGATTGTTATGCCATTTAAACCTATGGTAAAGAATTGATTATTAAGGTGTTCGCTGCGAACACCCTATTTATCGATCTTTTTCCATAGGTTTAAATGGCATAACAATCGATGTATCGCAATTCACGCCACGCCACTGTTATTTATGTCAGCGCGTGCGTAGGTTTTACTCTTGAAATGATGCCTTGAGAGGGCCTTGTTCGAAAAAAAATGAAAGAAATACAATTGAAAATAGGAGCCAGTCGTATTGTACTAAATGTCTCGCAGGCGGGGAGGGGAGGGTCAAAACTTTATCAATTCCTAAAAATCAAGAAAAACGACTTATTTTTTGGGAAAATCGTCTAGTCTTTCTCTCCCCTCTCCGCTATTTACGTCACTGAGTGTGTTATTTTTGTAGGCGTCTAAAATGTGATGAATTACATTTCTCAATGGAAACTACAGAGTAATTAAACACGACAATATCTTCGGTTTTCGAATCGAAAAATTTTCTGAGCTGTTATGACAGAATGGCCTAATTTTTTAAAAATACACATTTCTAAATGGGAAATGCCGCCCTTCGGCGTTATAGGTAAGGTGGTAAATTGTCACCCTTTTAAATCTATTTTCCTACAGCCTATTTTCTAAAAATACACATGTTTAAATGGGGAATGTTGCCCCTCAGCGTTATAAGGTGGTAAATTATCACCCTTTTAAATCTATTTTCCTGCAATTTCCCATTCGAAAAAAAAAAAAAATTGAAAACATATCGTGAACTCAGCTTATGAAGCAGTACATTATCTTGTTCTAATTCTCTATTGCGCGTTTGATTTGTCGCAGGATGAAGATGAAAATGCTGGCATCTGCTACAAATATGCGATGTCGCACTTGCTGTTCAACAACTATCCGTCGGCGAACAAGTGGGAGGTCAATCGGAAAGTCGATGGCGTTGTTGAAAAGCTCCACTTTCATGGACTCCCTGGCAGAGCGGAGAAGCTGAGGCTTCTCGTCAAGAAATTCATTTCCCTGAAAGAACTTCGCAATTATGGCCAGGTATGCAGAATGTAATGAAAATTAGTGTACTTATTTTAATTTTTATACATTAAGAAGAAGAATTGATCCAATGATTTTTCGAAAAAAGACACATTTATTCATATTACACATATTACAGGCATACACAATCATACACAGGCATACAGGATACACATATTAGTCCAAATTTAGAAAAAGGCGGCAAATTTCCGAAGCCCCAATTGATAGAATTTTAGCCGATGTATGATGTTCGATAGCATGCCACTTTTTTTTTGCAAAATTTAGGCGATTGATTTAGGTACGTCCATTTTCCATTCGTAAGAAAGAAAAAACAAGAGAAAAAATAAGGAAAAAATGATAATTCTAATCATACCTGCAATTATGTTCTTTTTAATTGATTTTCTCTCTTTCTTTTTATTTTATTTTCATCCTATTTTTTTTCATTGGTTGATCGCCTTCTCAGTTCGGTGAAGATAAGTCCAACACTTGAAAAGTTCACCTTTCTTCAGGCAGTTTAGGTTAATTTTCGTAAGGAGCAAAGGTCGTAAAATAACTCAGGAAAAAAAAAAATTGAAAAAAAAAAAAAAATGTGGACAAGAGGTACTCTTCACGAGTTCGAACGTTGTATGTGAGGAAAACCAGGAAAAAAGTTGGACATAATCAGAGTTCAAGAATGTTCGTAAAAAATCGTGAATAAAGAGGACCAGGAGTTGGGGAAGTGACTTACATTTTTCACTTTTTTTTACTGTCAATATATATCTCTCGGTCCTCCTTTTTTCTCTGTGTTCATACCTTTTTTGGAATTTTTTTAAATGTAAATTTTACAGTTTATTTTTAATCTCTGCTTATTGTAACTTACAGCTTACAGCTTAGCCAAACCAACCAGACTAACTGAATGTTTAGTGGTCGTCACTCTGATCAAGCTGCCTTTTGTGTTTTAGGGAAATTATTACATTTCCTAGTATTATTTCTATTTTCTCAGGTGGACGTTGAGTGGCAAGTCCTGCAGTTGTTGCTCAGTTTAGCTTACCGTCCCTCCGATGTTAGAGAGGATATCGTCCTTGATGAGAAGGAGTTGTTTGAACCCGTCGACTCCGAAGACCTGAAAAAAAAGGAAAAAGAAGAGTGGGCCAAATACCTGCGCCAAGATGACTACAAGTTTGACTACACACATGATGATGTGAGTTGAATCTTTGTGCTGAAAAAGTGTTGGAGTGGAGAAGGGACCTCTCTATATTTGCATTCGTGTAAAGTCTTTTAGAACAATTTTTTAGATGGAAAGTGGAAGAGTGGGGAAAGAGAGGACCCTCAATCTTCGTCAGTTCCTCAGCAGTTTATCAGTTAATTCTTGCCTTTATCTCATGTCAGAGAGGATAGTTTATCAAGGTTTTCTTTTTTGACCCTTGCTTTTACTAAAAATAAAGTTTTGTGACTCACGCTTGTTGAACTTTTTTGGATTGTACTTTCATTATTCACACTGTGGGAGACACTGTAGTGAGCAATATTGAAAACATCACTATTGATGCGTTTACCAATCCCCAATCAGAGATGTTTCCTGGAAAATATGTCTGTTACGTCTGAGAGGACATTTTAGTTTTTGTTTCCAAAAAACTCTCCTGAAACTAACTGATTAAAATTGATGGAATCCACAGCTCAATGGAGGTACAATATTATGTGCTTAGATGGGTGTCGTTTTAGCTTGAGTTGTTAGGAGGGATTCTTGTGAGATAAAGGGCTTCAATGCGCTTACAGTTCCTTCGATTTTCGATATTCATTTGAAAGAATTCAGTGCCTTAGCATTTGTTAGATGATTTAATGTTTGTTTACTTTCGTTGAGATCCCATTTTCGGTTGTAACCTGATTTTTAATTCGGAATAATTTCCTCAATTTCACTCTTAAAGTAAACTATCTAATTTCTTTTCACCGACTCAATGAAAGCTAGTAAAAATGCAAAAATCTTTCAGCGTTCCTGATCTTAGAGGAACCAACAGTTTTACTAGATTATTTCATGCTAAAACCATATTTGTAAAAACTGATGCAGTCAATATATTATGTCCATTTAGATTAGTTCAATGGTAAATGTACAAAGAAAAAAGAAAAAGAATTGAGGTGGTGGTTTCTTTAGTTTAGTACCAGCGTTGGTCCAAAAAATTCACCCTCAGCTTTTTGTATTTGTTTATTTATTTGTTTCTTTATAATCCACAGGAGTCAGATTGGAGTAGTTTGGAAAGTGACGGAGAGAAAGAAATCACTACGGATCATGAGAAGGATATGCAGGAGGATAGTGTATCAGCTCAATTCCAGTATCCTCCATTATTTCCCAGATCGGAACCAGAAGCTAAGTATCGGAATCGTGAAGAATACCTCAGATGTATGGCTAAAGAAGGGATAATGGCACAAGAATTTCTGGCAACTCAAGTTCAGCACTCATGGTGGGACATTGACCAGGAGATTGCCAAAATGGGAGATAGCTCCAATCTCAGTTTCAAGGATTTAGCGTAAGGATCAAAATTATCCAATTTTTTCTCTCTTCCTTCGTGAATTATTTAACATAGGTTAGCCTTAAAATTTTGCATTTTAAAGTTATGCTGTCACACTCAAATTCTGTTTGATAGTTGCGAGGAAAATAGACAGTCATCATCAGCTTACTATGAACTGGACAGTCTGTGTGCAGACGCACTTAGTCAGAATGTACAGTCAAAATATAGAATTGACAGTGGCCATGGTTGAATGACCAAATTCTAAGTTTCCAGAGAATTGCCTGAATATGCCCCAAGTCCACATAAGTTTAACCATAGTAATGTCCAAATCACTGTATGTTTACCAAAATGTTTGAATGCACCCTCAGAATCAACTTCAAGGTTAACACAGTTCTTTTTCCCCATTTTCAAGTTTTAAATGATATTTCTGGAATAAGGCCCCATTCAAACTTCAGATGTACGTTTATAACTCTGATGGTTTTAAAAATTTAACTGTTATATACCAAGATGAGAGGAGTTATTTGGTTTCAAATTCAAATGGATATTTGATGCACTGATAAATTGATGAATTCATGTACAAGAAAGCTCCTCTTTTAGTTTTTAAGCAACCCATAAAAACAATATTTTCAGTCTCAGCTCTGTTGAAGACTCGCTCTAATTTAAATACCGCAGGTTTGAAACTAGATTTTGCTTAAGCCATGCGCATTAATTAGACATGCATACGATCTCAGTATTGCTTCTCCTAGAAAACTGATGAATTTCGTTTCAAATAATTTGCTGTGATTTGCCTTTTCATAACGGCACTTTTTTTTTTTTTTTAGAAAATTAAAAGTCATAATCTAAATTTTTTATCTAATAAAGGGGTGCAATACAAGCTAAACTTATTAAATATTGTAACTTTAGCGTACCCTCAAACTTGATCTATAGGTTGTTAGGATTCAGTCCTTAAATATAATCTTCTTTTATTACTGACTCTCTAGAAATTCATGGCGACGCACAAAAGATAATAGATTGCTCATGGTGTTAAGTGAGGAGAAAGTTCTTCGGGAAATTTTATGGACCCTTCATTGTCCTTCAAGTGGTGCGTTGTTTCAAATGGATGGATCTGGGTCCTTGAGCGTCAAACAAAACTTCACCTTACCCACTGCTTCTCAGGTACCTTTTTTCTCTTCCTATGTAAAGAAGATTAAGGGGAATCAATCGGCTGACGATAGCTAGTTCGGAGTCAAGTATGCTTTAGATTTCCTCTTACTAAGTCCTCATGGCAAGAGGCTATAACTTGACATTCAAGATTTATTTAAGACAAAAAGAAAGAGAGGAAAAGGGACAAACGTTCTCAGTTGCTCAGGTTCAGATATCGCTGTTATATTCCATGAGACTCTAAGAACTCTTTAAAATGAATGATGAATCATCCAATATTTACGGGCTTGTACTTCATTTCCTCATTCTAAACTTAAATGAAAAAATACAAAAATTATGCCTGCATCAGAACCATGATTTGTTTTTTTATTTATTGTCACTAAAGAAAAATCATTAGCTTCTTTGAACCAGATTAGGCTTATCAACGGAAAACTGCAGGATTGCGTATCTTAGTTTGTGTCATTGCAGACGCACAGTCATATATTTTTCAAATGGAAAAGCACTCAATGTCATTTTTTGAAAACTTCCCCTTCTTTCCCCCTCTGTGTGAATAATAATCTAAGGATGAAAATTCAAAGCACTAGTGTTGGCTTTTTCTTTTTTGATCAAATCAAATAGAAGCAGATTTTGAAACGCTGCAAACGAGATATGCGTTCCTACAGTTTCATTGTCGGTATCTATATGATATGTTTGTATGTAGTGCTCACTTGTTGTTGTTCGGAGTCGAGGCTAAGTTCAGAGTTTATGCAGATAAAATTTAGGGCGTTTCTGCCAGTCTCTGTCACACTTTATTGTTTGATTGATTTTGACCTTCTGTTTTTTTTCTCCAACAGGAAGCAACTTTTCAAACTGTCTCACGTCTGTCGCATTTACTACAAGTTTGTCAGGAAATGTCAAGTTTCCGAGAATCAATAGATTTTATCGAATCCTCTTTCACTCTGCAAGCATATGCTAACACATTGGCGGAAGTACTAGAAGAATTTACCATGAAAATCCTTTTGCTCGAAAGGAAACTCAATGAACATGGTACTTTTCAATTTTCTTTTCATTAGTTTACCCCCTCATTGAATGAAGTTGTCATCGATGATCTAAAAAATTAAATTTTTTGAATATTATGATCACATAATAAGTCTGATCACTCTCCGTGATTATTTTGTTTGAAATCAAGAAATTTAAGAGAAGGTTAGTATAAATAAGGTAATTTCCATTTCATAGTTCTTGGAAAATCTGTGTACCTCAACTCAATGCAGCATAAAACGAAAGTTAACTCTCTTACTTTTAATATGAGGTAATGAATTTTTTATTAATCCTTTTTTTTCTTTTCGTTTGTGCAGAAGATGATACAACCCTTCTCCATTTAGAAGAAATAATTGCACCATATTATCATGATTTGATGTATGTATATCAAATTCACCAAAAAGCAACTGAATTACACGGTAGTAAACCCAAGTGGTTAGCGGTTACCAGGTAAGCATGATTCATATAAAATGTTTCCTCATGAATAAGTTTTGGACAAAAAGGATCAGTATGAAATAAGCACAATGAGGCCAGAGTGGCATTTATAATGACAGGACGATGATGATGATGATTATTAGTTTATGAAAGGCACCAGATGCAGCTTTTGCAGTAAAATTCGAGAAATTTAATCAGATTTTGCCCATTAACTCAACTCCTCAACCCCCAGTAAATGCATGTTAATGCCAGATCAGGGATGTTAGACATTCATTTCACTCAGCAGTTTTGTTAGACATCCATTGTTTTTAAAATTCCCATTATTCCCAGATGCCACATGCTGTATTATTCTTAATGCAAAAAACCCAAGTACAATTTTTTTCCCTGTCTTAGATTGCTGGCAGAGTTAGAAATTGGCTTAATGGAGGCCACATCTTGTCGTCAAACAGATTTCATGCTGAGGCTATTTGTGAAATCCTTGCGGCCGTCAATTGATATATTGGATAAGTGGCTCTCTATCGGAAAGCTAGAAGATTTTCGAGATGAATTCCTCATATGCCGGTAAGTTCCTTCTCCCTTTTCTTTTTTTCCCCTGCCAGTTCCAGGCTCGACCAAATCATTTTTATCTCAGCCATGAAATTAGTTAAGTTGAGTTCATTGGATTGTATTGTAATGTATGATTCATTTCAATATACCTGTATCATTCAATTTGGCCAAAAACAAACTTTCCTCAAAGAAACAGATACATGAAGTCGCTATTTTGCAGACATCTGTAAGAGATAATATGTCAGGGGTTATTAAACTCCTCACTATTAGATTACTGTTCTGGAGCATTTTTTGAGAAACAAAAATGAAAGAGTTAAAAAGAAAGTAGTTGCAACTTTATGTTACAGAATCAGCCCTCTGGAAATTCTCTCTATGAAGGTTTATATTTTTGTTCAATCTTACGCACTATTACCAGCGACTAATGCTGAAAAAGTAGCAATTTTTTCCATATTACATGTATTTAATTTAAAATGAAGTTTATTGCTCAATATGGCAACCATGTCTTACAAGGCAAATATTTTGAAATATCACTGCAAACGTTGTTGCTTGTCAAAAATAAAAGTTTATTATTTTAATGGACAAATTATTCCTTTGGATCAAAGTAAAAGCACAACAGAATGCCTTTTTTCATTCTTTTAATTCCATATCTAACAGTTTTTTTTTTTTTTTTTTTTTTTTTTCAATGTGCTTTCCTTCTGAGTTTCATCTAATTTATAAAATGGAGGGCATTATCATCCTCTTGCAGCAGAAATAAATATCTTGTTTGCTTTGCTCAAATCGTTTTATTTGAAAGGTAGTGATGAAGATGCAAAAGATTTTTCTGAATGTTGAAAAAGAGACTTTTCTTTTTGCAGGTCCGATGAAGACAACACACATGATTCATGGATTTTGGGATCATTTGTCGTTCGGCGTGATGACAGGGAATCTCAAATTTTGAATTGCCTCGCTGGCTCAGCATTGAAAGCAGCACAGTCCATGGAGTTTGCTCTAAAGATGGGTGACGAGTACACTGTCTTCTCTAATACCCTTGACACAGGTAAATCACATTTTTTTTCATTGAAATATTATGGCACTGTTTTTGCAACACTTGCTCCGGTGTTTCTGCCACCTCAAAAATATAACCGTTAGTTTTATGACCTCATCTGAAAAAATGCAGGATATGTTTTTTTTGGAGGGGAGGAAGAGGGGGGGGTAAAAATTAAAATTTTTTCAGTGATGTTTGAAAAAAAAGCTCTGCTTAAATATTGGTTGAAAAATGCTGGAAATGGATTCACGACGCTGATGCGAATGATTTGATAGTCTGTCAACTGATTAATCTCTGAATTTTGAAACATTTTTTTCGCCTCCTGTTTTTGAATCTCTGAAAGTTAAATAGTTTTACATTGTATCGGATATAATTGACACCAAAACAACTATTACACCTCAAGGAACTTAACAACACGCAATATATTCATCACCATTCTTACTCCTCCAGGTTTGATGTCCCATGAATTCCTCTCACAACTCGGTGAGGCGATTTTGGAAGCTTTTCCTCGCAATGATAGTCCTTGTGAAGATACTAAGTTGCAGATTTCAAGTGTATGCACTGTACCAGATTTTCAGCCTGACATGCAATATTTTAAGGACCTATGTCGATTTCATCCTCTAATTTTCCAAAGTATCAAAACAATGTTGGCTGAAGTTAGGAATAGAGTCAAAGACTGCAGGGAAGCACGTGAGAGATCCAAAATGAATTTCCAAAGCTCAAGAGCAGCTTCTTATAATAGGTGAGTGCACCTTCTCTCCTGTCTTTTTCTCATTAGTTCATTAATAGCCTTTTTGCTGGGATTTTTTGTCACCTTAAGCGTTATTTTTCGAAGTCCAAGCTTTTATTTCTTGCGACTGGAACAAAAACATTTTTAATACTCTCAAATTTTTTTCATAGTTTTTAGTGATACCGAATTTTGCATAATTCAGATCTTTTGAATTATTGATAATTATAATCCAAGTATACCAAAATCTGCAAAACTTTTGCCAGCTCTTCCATTTTTTCACTGTCCAGTTTTGTTCTCCAGTCCAGTCCAGCTGTTTTATTTTTTTCCATCCTGTTTTGTTCTGTAGAGTTGCCATATTCTATTCTCTTCTTTGGAATAAATTATTAAGATAATGAATAGAAATAACTTCTGATGAGTCAAAAACTACACCGTTTGTTGACCAATCAACAATACCTTAAGTGTATATGTACTTAACAGAGGAAGAAAAACAAGAGTATTCATTTTAAAAAAAATCAGGGTGAAAATCTGAAATGTTGAAAGTAATTTTGGAAGGAAATATTTTTGAAAGGTATTTACAGTTGTGCATTTGAAATATGCTCATACATGGTTTGCTCACTTCAAATAGGGTGATCGAATATTTTCTCTGTTGAAAACCAATTAGATTTTTATCTCTTCCTAGGGAGGTATAAAATAAGCTCATTTATTATTAAATTTATTTCTGTTTTTCTTGTAGATGTATTCCTAAACTGGAAAAAGGTATCTCCGTTTTTCCATTGAACTCAAAAATCGAAGCTATCCTTGAACATCTGATCATCTCCAAACATGACCCGGCAGCATACCAGTTCGTGCAACATCTTATTTCGGATGCTTTGTTACTTCGTCATCTGGAAACCATGCATAAAGTTTATCTTCTAATATCCGGTCACACCTTATCCATATTTTACAATCGACTGTTTCTGTTGGTAAGCAGGTACTTTTTCTTTGTCATGATTCAGCACCTATCATATTCCCTATATTAGCTAACTTATCAAAAAATGATCCCGTATGGGGGACTGTTGTCACAGGTTTAGCAATCCTGCGGACCCCAGCTGGTAGCCCCTGCCTCAAAGGGGGCAGTGGAGATGGTCACCGGCCTCTGGGCGTATGAACCACCTGCTAGAAGGGCAGACAGGGCTCTGAGCTGAAGTGAAAGCAACCTGTCTAGGAGAGGCAACTCCGAAATCAAACCCTGGTCCTCCAGGTTGGGGGTTGAGTCATCGGGCTAACTCCCCGGTACTTGTAAAAAGTTTTACTGTTAAACGACCTAACAATACAAGCCTCGGTACCACTAGAACTAAACGGACACGTCGACAAAAATTGAGAAAACGGACAATGGTATTTGGGACGTGGAATGTCCAAGGCATTTCAAATAAGTTACCGGAAGTGATATCGGAGATTCAGAAACTTGGAGTGGATGTCGCTGTTCTTACTGAGACCAAGAAAAAAGGGCACGGGTCAGAGAATTACGGTGACTATGATCTATTCTACAGCGGCGTAGCCAAAGATCAGCGTGCTCAGCAAGGAGTAGCAATACTTTTGCGGAGAAGCCTACGTAAGTTCGTGGGCACTTGGGAGGCCGTCAACCAGCGCATTATCAAAATGAACCTTAACCTGTACGGACATAAGATCACGCTGCTCGGAGTATACGGTGTAAATGATGATGCCACTGTCGCATGTAAGGACCAATTCTTCGAAGATCTGAATGATGAAATACTGAACGTTGGTGCTGGCAGGGAAGCCATTCTTATGGGTGATTTGAACAGCAGAACGGGACGACGAGTAAACTGTAAAGTTGTTGGACCGTTTGGGGAGGATGCTGTTAATGATAACGGTGATCGGCTCATCTCAATTTGTTCTCAAACTGAGATGAAAATTTTGAATGGCTTTTTTCAACACAAAGACATCCATAAGTATACCTGGGTCCAGCCAACGCGAGGATTGAAATCCATCATCGATTATGTAATTGTAAAGCACACTACTAAGTTGAAATTGCAGCAAGTTAGAGTGTGCAGGGGACTCTCTTGCGGCAGTGATCATCATTTCCTCCGAGCAGATATAGCGTTTCCCGTTAAAGGGATTAAAGATAAAGAGCCAATGCCTGAGCAACAGCAGAGTCAGGGAACGCAAAATCATGAAGTATGGTATAACATCGAAAGTTTGGAGCACCCTAGTGTCAAGGCTCTGTATCGGAAACGCTTAGATGAGAAGCTGGGGGATGGACTCTCGGGTACCACGGAAGAGCAATATCAGTTCATCAAAGATTGTATCCACTCTGCAGCGAAAGAAGCCCTAGGTGTTCACAAAACCAGTAATAAATACCAGCATCCTTACTGGTGGGATGAAGAAATTGAAGACGAGATAAATCTTAAGAGGCAAAAACACCTTATATTTCTGTCGTCTAAAAAGACTGAAGATAAAGTTGCTTACAGGAAAGCTCAGTCTAAAGTTAGGAGCCTCATAACACGGAAGAAGAATGAAGCTTGGGAAAGCAACTGTTCTAGAATTAACACCTACCTAGGGGGGAGAAAAAGTGCTGAGAGCTGGAAGTTAATTAAAGGTTTACGTAGAGACATGAAGCGCGACATCGTTTCTCCGATATCACTTAAAAAACTGGAGGATCATTTTAAAGATCTTTTGACGGAAAGGCGCCCAGAGTTTCGAGACAACAGCACGGACAACGGAAGAATGAACAACTTGGAGATCCACACTTGTGACATAATTAAAGCGGTTAAAGAGCTAATTAATGACAAAGCACCGGGTCCTGGTGGGATTCCTGTCGAGTTGGTCAAGTACGGGACTGCCAAGCTCTTTGAGTGCCTCAGAAAACTGATGCAACAATGCATCAGGGGTGACGAGGTACCAAGGGAGTGGAAGGAGTCTTGGATCAAGGCCATCTACAAAAAGAAGGGAAGGAAGGACGACTGTAACAACTACCGGGGGCTCTCAGTGACCGGGACAATAAGCAAAGTGTACGGGAAGATACTGAAAGCGAAGATCGAGGACGAATGGCAGGATCACGAAGCAGAGGAGCAGGCTGGTTTTAGAGCTGGCAGGTCTACGATAGATCACCTCTTTGTTATTGTCCAGGTCATTGAGAAGAAAATGGCCGTAGCTCAGGAACTGCATTTAATTTTTGTGGATCTCCAGAAGGCGTATGACAGCGTGCCGTTGGTGAAACTTTGGGAGGCCTTGGAAAAATCGAATTTTAACGGGGGGTTGATTGACGCTGTTAAGCGATTTTATAAAGGGAGTTTTACCAAAGTTAAGTGCCATGGGGGGTTGTCAGCGGGATTTTATGTGACTAAGGGTTTAAAACAGGGATGTTGTTTGTCGCCAACATTATTTAAAATTTATCTCGAGTGCGTGCTAAAAGAATGGAAAAAGAAATGCTCTGGTATGGGTGTCCCCTTGGGTGATCTCGAAACTCTGTTTACTCTGTGCTTTGCTGATGACCAGGTGGTGGTTGCTCAAGATCAAGATGACGCGGAATACATGATGCGCAAGCTAGTAGAAGAGTATCGGAAGTGGGGTCTGGAAGTCAGCATATCCAAATCTGAGAAGATGACTTTTGGCGGTGATCAGCAAAGCATTGAGTTGGAGGATGGGCAGCAGATCAAAGGCTGCGAGCACTTTAAGTACTTGGGAGTGCGGTTGACCCAGGATGGAAGGACGGATCAAGCTATCAGGGAAAGGAACACCTTAGCAAGGAAGGCTATAGCGATGTTAAATGGAATCCTCTGGGATCAGCGGATTTCCAAAGATAACAAGAGTAGGATATACAACGCTGTAGTCAAAAGTATATTAACATACGGATGTGAAGTTTGGCAGCTGAAGAAACGGACACAGGATATGCTAAGAGCAACGGAGATGGATTTTTGGAGAAGGTCAGCAGGAATTTCTAAGAGAGATCGGGTCCGTAATGATAGAGTGCGTCAGATAATGGAAGTCAAAAATGACATCGTGTTCGACGTCATGACCAAACAACTTGTTTGGTATGGTCATGTCAATAGGATGACGGAGGAGAGGCTGCCAAAAAAGATGCTTGATTGGGTTCCTCCTGGGAGGAGACGTAGGGGACGCCCAGTGAGAGGTTGGCGACAGGGGGTGTTAAATGAGATAAGAGATTGTCAGCTCCCTGATGACCTGTGGGAAGACCGAGCTTTGTGGCGATTAGGCGTCGCACAGCGCCAAAGAGCGCTATAAAAGCGACTCTCATATATATATATATATATATATATATATATATATATATCTATCAAAAAATGAGGGGAGGGGGAGACTTCCTCTTAAATTCAAAGAAAATACTGGAACCAATATTTCTATTCTACTTTGAACTCCACAATTTTTTCTTCTTGTTTGTATTTATATTCTAAATATTTACAAGTGGCTAACACTTTATAATGTGAGAGTATTACTGTCTAGTAAAAGTGAGTAAAACGAATTAAAAATAATTTCTCTCAACAATGAGTTTGCATTATTCAAGGTTTATCAAATTTTTGATTTTCATCTTCATGTTTTCAAGAGTGGAAATGCTAAATTTTATAAATTTTTCTTGTAAATATCTTCTTTTTTTTCGTACGAATTTTAGGCAGAAGCTGATATGTGGAAGAGTGCTAGGAGTCTGAGTCCTTTACTCGAAGAATGTATCGAAAAAGATGTAGGAGAGTTGAGTGAAAGGTTTGAGGTTATTCCTAAAAAAGGAGGATCAGCAACAACAAAAAAGTCTAAACCTTTGAAAGCTTTTAAGATCTCAAATACGCTCAGCAACTTGGACAATTTTTACATCAATTACCAGGTAAAGTTTCTATATTCAAACAGGCTCAACTATTAGGGGTAAAGAAATATTTTTCCTGCAAGTTTTAGCTAGACCCTCAAAATAATGCCTCCAGATTTGTCGAAACTGGCTTTTTACAAAATGACAAATAACAACAAAAAACATCTAAGAATTTGAAAAAAATTCTTATTGTTTTGCAACGAAAGATTGACACTGTGTAAGTTTCCCTTGCCTTTTTTAATTGTCCCTGTAGATTCTCTTTCTTTTACCATGTTGCAATAGAGTTTGGCAAAATATTTGTTAGCGCCACTTAAAAACTAATTCTATAAGAAAATACCAGCTGTGCTTACCAGTTTCTTTTATTAAGTAGCATCTCATGTCTTTTGGTGGGTTTACTACATTCAACTCGATGAATTTTTCATAGCATACATTTCAGTCCAAGATTATGTATGTCTAATTTTAAAAAATTCGAAAAATTACTTAGTACCATGACTCAAATTATTATCTTCCTGCCCATTTTGCACCAAGTTTATAATTTGTTTACTTGTGTGTTAATATTTTTATAAATATCTCTATATTACACTGTTGGTTTGAACAGGAATGATGTCACAACCATTACGCCTGATCAATATTTAGCAGCCCGCCAAATATTAATGGGTTGGTTGGAAAAATTTATAGGTCGACAAGGAGTTCTGACACCAGTGCCCACAAAGCTCTGACTGACCAATTTTGTCATTTAAAATAAAATTTTGGTTTCGTTGGAAGTTAGCATTTTTGCTGGCATGCATAACTTGATGTCTCTGTGTTAAATCGTATGTCTTTTTATTTTCCATCAATGTTGACTGCTAATTTATCTCTATGACTGCTCGCAGGTCGAGTCTCCCGTGAACATAGTCATCACCGAGGAAGCTGTAAATTCTTACAATTTTGTATTTAAGTTTTTAGCAAAAATTGAATGGGCTAAGTGGTCATTACAACAGCTTCAACTTAAAGGTTTGTAAATACAGCCTCAGTTTATCAATAAAGTTTGTATGATGTTGCTACTGGTGTGGCTCTAGAACTGATTTAGTTCGTAAAATCCTGATAAACTATAATTGAAGTAACCTAAAATTAGCATTAATTACCATTCTGAATTGAATGTGCAAAGCTCTTAGGCATACTTTTTGTTGAGGTGGATTAGCGCTTGGAGTTAAAAATTTCAATTGTAAATTTTATTAAGGAGTTCCTTTGGACCAATGAATGGTGAAACTGCAGCAATGTGTATCTTGGTTTGCAGCGTTACCAACTTCCCATCATACTTTATTTTCCAAACGAAAAACTGTCAATGTCAACTGCCAAATGTCATTTCTTGAGAACTTTGGTAGTTTTTCTCTATACGAGGAATATTTTATGAAACTTTCAAGTCATTGTAATGGTTTGGTCTCCCTATAAAAAATGAAGCAGGAGCAGAGATCTTAAAAACCTGCAACTGAGTTACATATTTTTGCAGCCTTTGTTCACATGCAAGTCCCTGATTATAGCGCTGTCTCCTTTTATTTTAGATATAATGTCAGAACAATCAATCTGTGAGAGGTCATCATCCCTAAAAACTTACTGTAGGTCCTAATATTGTGTCACTGTCATTCTATTCGTCACTCTTTTGATATCAACAGTTCAGGAAAGCAGCACTTTTAGCATTACCAATGCTGTAGAACACAGTAAATTTCATTGAGTGTATTTCTTTTTTGTTACCTTAAACTCTTTCCCTATTCAGAGTGTTTTTATTTACTTCACAGATTTAAGTAAAACAGTATCAGATCCAGTGACTCGTCGTCTATTTTATCTGCGGTTCTTCCTCTTGAACTCTGTCTCGCATATTCACAACTACTTCATTCGTCAAATCTCAGGAGATGTTTTCGAGACTGTCAAGAATGATATAATTGATGCTCCCACTTTGGATGCAGTTATCAAAGGTGAATCTATAAAACATTATTTTAGCTCTTTGAAGTAAGAGAGAATCTGGAAGGAATTGTTATTTTTTTTCGAGTATTTGCTTGCGAACGGTTAATGTTGATAATTTTTTTTTATTTTCCTAAATTAGCAAAAGAAAATTTTCCTTTTCATAGTAGTATTTATAACTTACTTCAAGAGGAATTTTTGATTTTTAAGTATAGAAAAAAACGTGTGAATTTCTTCGAAATTTCACTGCATTTTACCTCCTTGTGACTAAAATTATTTTCTTTTACCGAAAGTGGGGAATCATATGGAAAAGGAAAGAAAATTATTCGAATTTCTTATCTGTAATTTTTCCTACGCTATTGATATTCACTCAAAGGAATTTGTGCCACTTTTATGAAGCAAAATTAGACTTATTAAAGCACGCAATTAAGCCGACAGTCAATAAGTAGATGGGAAAATTGTTTTGTAGGGTTTGGATGTACTGAATACATTTTTATTAAGTAAAAGCATCCTGAAATTGATGTGTGCTGTCAAAATATTAAAGTCCTTCTTTCTGCAAAACACTGTAAATTAAGTGGGTAAGTCTGTAAGTTTATTCCGAAGTACAAGTAAAATGGAGAGTTACCTAGCAAGTTTCTTAAGGTTTTTTTTTTCTTTTTCGAAATTAATGTTTGTTTCCTATAAAAATAACTGGCAAATCTTCCGCTTCAAGCTTTTTGGCTTTTAGTGTAGAGTATTAGAATTTTTGATCGGAACCAAAAAAATAAACCATTCAATCTTTTATGCCACGGATTTATAATGATTCGTGAATTGTATCCCCTCTGTTACAGCTCACAAGTCATACTTGAGGAAGTTGACTAGTCATTGCTTGATTGAAGAAAAGGTTCTGGAGAGGGGCCTTTTACCGGTAATAATTAAAATTCACCTTCTTAATATGGAGAGATAGTGTTGTTTTTATTGTGAACTGATTGTGCATTAAATTGAGTATCAAACTGTAATTCCAATGATGCGGTATCTCATTTTTGTCATTACAGTCCAGAAAATTATATGATATGTATAATGCTATATTATCATGATCTTTTGACCTTGTTCATAGATTTTTTTCAGTATATTTCAATTTTTAAGTTTTCTTTTTTTATGAGTGGGCTTTGAATATGCTGATAAAACTTAGGCAATCTTGAAAAATTTGTGATTTTGCAAGAAAATTTCATATACAATTTTACAAGAAGTAATCTAGTGATTCTGTTTTTGTCTGGAATCTACTATTAATCCAGTGAGAAACTAAGGCTATACTGGCTTCCAAATGATCTTTTATGGCAGAAACCATTCGTGTGATCAGTGAAATTCTTGATATTAAGTCGCAACTTTGTTCCAGTCAGCTCTTATTCTTTGTAGAGAATCTGACCTAATATGAGGGTGAACTTTCCCACGGTCATGTATCGCTCGTTCCTACTTAGAGAGCTTTTCGCCAGATCAGGATTGAGTCCATAGAACTAGTGGTGCCATTGTGCTGCCAGATTTTTTAATTAGGATTCATTACATTTCTTATCAATTATCAGCGCCCCGCTGATCATGTACCTTTTCGATTTTTTAGTACCTGTCTTTGTGTGAACGTCTACGAGAGCTCTGGAAAGAACAGGTTAATGGAAGCCTTGAAAAACAGGATGTTTTTGAATTCGAAAAATATTTCATCCAAACCCATTGGCTGCTGACAACCTGCGTCGACACTGCTATCGACACAACTTCTATTAAATATGCAGGTCCATGTAAGTTCTTCTTTTCTTTTCATTATTGCTCTCTTTATTTTGGGTGTGTAAGAGAAGTTAAAGGTGTTTGGGGAGAGAATCTTTGGATTTTTCCCCTGCATGAAAGATTTGAACAAATTAACTATCTCAACATGCGCACATACCTTTAGTATTCCTCCTGGAATTACTTGCTACTTCAGACTTTCAGTTCCAGCTGCTTTGGCATGACACTGGGTTACCCGTCACTGATTATTATTATCGTGACTCGTTGTAAATCTAACTCATTCTTAGCGCTGGATCACTACATCCAGTAAAAAGCCTCACAATGTCAAATTAAAAGTTGAACGATGATTAGAACACAAGGGCTTATGCTTTTGGTATGAGCTGTTTGGTTTGGAGGAATGTAATTCATTTAAAATTTGACTTTGATGGTGGAACAGTCAAAAGTTAGCAAGAGGCATTGAATTTTTCCTCGAGTATTTTATTTAAAATATTTCTTCAGAGTGTGGCTGATTCAACTATAAAATGGAAAAATAATTTCCTAATGGCTATTTTCTTAATTTGATTCCAAGAAGTAAGCATGAAGTGCATAATAAATAGTATTTTTACTGGAAAAAAGAAATAATTTTACATTTATTCAAATTGTAAAACCTAGTTTTAATGGGCCCTGGTCTGTCACGCTCCCAAGAGAGGGATAAAGTCTGGTCCAACATACTGAGGGAATGATGAAAGAGAGAATGGGTCTGACACTCCATGATGCTTCGCAAAAATCAGCTCTGAACATTTTTAGATGGTTTCGGCAAAAATATTAACAAATAATGCTGATTTGTTTCTTAACAGGGAAGGTATCTTTAAAAGCAAGTAATAATTTTTCAGGAAGATGAAGGCCTGTAATGAGAAGTCAAACACTCTGAGTTTTGGTCTGATGTAATTTTGATGCACAATTACCTATTTGATTCCAGTAAAGCAATGAGGAATGGGGTTGTTTTCAGTGCGACTTTCATTTCCTGCTCCAATGATAGTGACAAATTCTAGCAAAAAATCTGGTGGAAAGTTGTTTTGTCTCTTAAAGAAATAACGTAATTTTATTCTTTTGTTTCCAGTGACTGAGCTTTGGAAAGTGCTCTCAACAAATATCCCCTCAAGAGGAGATGCATTAGGTGAAGAAATCGTCCACTTACCTTCAATGAATTTCTAGTAGAGAATGAACTCTGCATTGCTAAATATTTACCTTTTAATTTCTGTGATGTTTATCATTACTGCTGTATTTACCATAAGAGTTAATGTTTAAGGTACATTAGTTAGCCCCTATTAAATTTTGTGCCATTAAAGGAGGATTTGCAAGGTAATTGAGTGTTTTCGAGTAAATTCCCATTTTAATAGTGAAACTCTGTATCTTGATTTGTGAAGTTGCAAATTTTCTTTTCTCTTTAAAAAGATAGTGGATCATTGTTACTGCACAGAATTTTGTGCGATTTTTGATGTGGGAAACTAAATACATACTGAAATTAAAATTTATTTTCTTCAGCATGGCACACTGGTTCCAGGAATCACTTTGGTGAGTTCACTCCAGACTAGCCTGCGATGGGCGGTGAAGGGGATGCCTTTTGCAAGAGGGTTCTGCAGAACTTGCTCCTTTTCCCTGTTTGGAAGGAATTTGTCAGATTCTTCTCTTAAAAGAGCTGTTTTAAGAACATTTCTGATTACAAATACTGAGGTTTTAAGTGCTTGCTCTTTGCATTTTGGAAAGGTTAATACTGTCATTTTCCTTGAAAATGTTCAATGTAAAAAACCCTCAGGCCTGGCTTCCAGCTGACGGCCCGTGGCCGTATGCAGCTGTTGATTTCCTATACTTTCTGCTCTCACCATTCATCTGCCCCCCCCCCCCAAATAATATGATCAACAAAGTGGCCATTTAAAAGTTTTTCTTGTATCTTAGCCTACCTTTTCTAAGTAACACCACTGAAATAATTAATTTCTGAAGTCATTTAACTGTGATTGTTTTTGAATTTTTATTAAATGTGTTTTTTTTATTTTTATAATTCAAGTTCAATATTTATTTATTAATCTCCTTACATTTGGAATCATCATTTGTTGAAGTTATGCATTTTCTAACCAGAAAAGAAAAAGAACTGTTCAGAAAAGTATTAATTTTAGAATCCATTATTTCAGATCCAGAGCTTGTCGTATAGGATTCACTTGCTGAGGAGGCATTACTTTTTACATACTACCAAATGGTATACACTCGTCGGAAAAATTGGATTGCATTTTGCAAAAAGGAACAAAGAGCATTCCAGTGTCGCTATGATTGTGAAACATGTTTTATTGTTTTACCTTGCAAACATAAACTGATCATCGAAACAAATTTTATGTTTACTCCCGATAACCTATATATTCAAGACGAAAATTACCTTTGTAAATTTAATTTTTGGTGTGACTTCAGTAATTCTATTGCTAACAATTTAAGTTGCACAGTTCTAGCAATATTGGAATGCTCTTGGTTTTTTTTTGCAAAATGCAATCCAATTTTAGGTTGATATTTGCAACACTCATTTTTTAATATAACTTACAACGGAAAGCTAGGATTTATTCTTGCCCAGAAGTACAATTAAAACTAGAAGTCCTTTTTTTCAAGGGAGATCAAAGGTGAACCCTGTCTTTTTTTAAAGGTCCCCCAAAAAAAGAAAAGAAAAATGGCTCTTGGTGTACCAAATTGTGTCGTCGTCACATAAGCACTGAGTAATCTGGATTTCTATCATACTGTTGTGGGGGAATGCTGGCAGAAATGAAGAACACAACCAAATATGGAAATAGCACAATGAATACATATATATCTAAATCTCTATATAAATCTCTATATGAATAGCAACACTCACAGGGGCCGACCGGATCTAGCTCTAGAATCTTTCCTAGATGACTGATCTCGCCCACGTGGATATCACATCCTTTTATGCTAATGCTTGAACTTCCGAAAAACGGAAGCTCTCCGCGCGGACATAAACAAATGTGCCTCGAGAAACTCCGTCCGATAGGACTGACCCTGGACCTCCGCGATTTCTCACGAAGAGCCATGCCGCGAAGCATGCCTCATCTACGGAGCTGAATGTGGACACCAAACCTGCAAGGTCTGGTCCCACAACAATACTCACAGAATTATCAACCTATCTTGCCTTCGAAGAAATGGATATTCTCTCAGGAAGCAGTCTTCAATTCAGTAATAATTGCTTCCAAAAGTGAATCCATTTTAATCGATTAATCCAGAACCTACTTTAAAAAATTTGGCATTACTTATGTGAGGTGAATATAAAAATAATTTGTTCGATTACAAACCTAGACTTGTTAGATTCATTAAAAAAATACTTATTTAAATTTTTTCAAGACTTTTATGCTTTTATTAAAACCTAAACACAACAAAGAAAATTACAGTAAAGAAAATATGTTAAGATCCCCAAAAGACTAAGTAAGTGAACAAAGATCAATGACAACCAGGATATGGGTCTTCTCTGTTTGTTCGCATGACGAACTTAATTTTCCTATCCATATCTTCATTGTAGACGCCCTTGCATCTTTCGTAATTGATTCTACGTCTCATATACGTGGGCTGCTCGAAGTATCGAGTTCTGCGATATTGATCTAAAAGCCCTTCTGCTCCCAAAATGCGATTGACCATCCGAAATGCAGCTTCTGGGTCATTGTTCTGTACCAGGACAGTTCTTGCTATAAACTTGACGTGCCTCATTTTGTCAGACTAGCAAAACCACCAAGAGTTATTGATTTATTAGTCTGAAAAAAATATTTGAAAAATAGGGTCAGATAAATATTCTAACTATTGAGTGAGATAAAGATCATACATTTATAATCTAATAATAGCATGCCAATAGCCAAAAATAAAGTTCGATTATATTAAGAGCAGCAGAAACGTTCTTTTCTTGCTTGAATCTTCTAGATACATTACAAATACATTTTAAAAATGTCTCCAATGTGTGATACATTCATCCTTATTACAAACATTATTATATACATTAGTATATATTATATACAATTCCTGTTTTCTGAAAGGTTCGATTTCTCCGGGAAAAAAGCTTTTCCGTCGGGGGAGGGGGGGGGGACAGTCTGGATTGTTCCCACTTCCAGGGAAAATCAAATAATTAGTAATTTTTAAAATAATTTAAAACAATTAATACATCAATATTCATGTAATATAAGCTGAAAAACCGGAATATGGCCTCAGAAATTCGTTCAAGAAAAGAATGGAGACCATTATAGAGACTTAAAATACACAAGTTAAGATCAGATATTTCGTACCTGAGAAAATTTTTACCCACATTGTGCAGGGGGCAAAAGTCGCAGTAACACCTAAAATAGTCAAAGATACCCATTTATGCAAAAACTCGGGTTTTTAAAACAATGGTGGATGATAACGAATTACTGTTGTATGCAAAAGATACAGCCATCACTGTACTCAAAACACTTAGTATAGATAAATTCGCTCGAAAATCACGTTAGACACATATAAGGTATGAAATCCACATCTTAGCTCGCAATCTGTGTAGTTCATAACACGCTTTTTCAACTCCGACGAGTATGCGGGTAGTTTTTCTTGGTGGCCAGCAGCCAGGCTTGCCCAGAGAGGGACCTAACCCGAATAAACAAAGTCTCGCAAACTGTTTTAGACTCTCTTTGCATAAGATTTCAATTTATTCAATGCCTTCGTAATTGAAATATAAAGAATGAAAAAGGAGACAAAATCATGAAAAAGGTTGAAATCATTCGATGAAAAAAGTTGGTGAAATCGTTTGAACACTCAGGAATCAAAAAAAGGCGTCAGAATGAAACACGCATTTCAGCAATTAAGATGATTCGTCAAACTATTCTGATGTGGTCGAACTGGCATGCAACGTATCGCATCGATTTGATCAAAAATATCAGCAGATTTTGAATTTTTAGCCAAAAGGAGGACAAAAGCCCCTGGGCAGGAACTAGTGTCCTTCTGTTGGCTAAAAATGCACCTACTTAATGCAATATAACGCATGCTAGTTTGACCACATAAGAGAGCTTGATGCATCACCGTAAGTCTGTAGAACACGAAAAAAGCTACGGTTCCACGGTTCAAAAGGTTCCATGGTTTAAGGTAACTTCTCATTTTTTTTTATTTAGAATTATCTCTTGGTGGCAGATGGAAGACTTCTTCCATAAAACATTTATGTAGCTGACTCATAACTGTTAAAAATCAAGACGCACACTTCTGCAGTTTTCCCATTGTTATCTGATGCAAGCTTTAATGCAGCCTAGTAAGTATTCAGACAAGGTATATTATCGTCATAGCCTTTCACAAATGAGACATTGAATCCAACATGAGAGAATGCAATACCTCAATTTGATAGAGTGAAATGTCATACTACTTAATCAGTCATTCTGCGGGTCTGAGAGGTGCACTACCAATGATCTTAGAATGCCTTCATCTAACCACCTACCCTCATCTATATATGAAATACCCAAGTATTACAAAATCCGCAAATGATAGGTGAGATAGGTGACCAATCGGGTGAGAAATGTAACAAAAAATAAGGAAAGCATCACGCACGAACAACTATACACGCTCTTTTGGAGAGTGAAACTGGAGGTTACACTTACAGAACAAACAACAGCTTCAAGCGCTTCAAGACGAATCAAATTCTTGTGCTCCAGTGGCGGCAGGGTTGGCTGCTAAGGCTTGACTGTTCTGCAAATTCTCGATTGCCAATTGCTCTTGCTTGAGCTGTTCTACAACTCTTCTCAAGTTTCTTATTGAACGGCAAATTTCAAAAATACCATATGCACTCAGGACCATCAAACAGGAGACCGTTGTCTTGTGACCAATGTCATACAATTTGTTCAGGGTCCTCCTGCTGATGCCCATAACGGAGACCGGAAATCATGAGAAAAGACCAATGTGAATCTTTAACCAAACTGAAATTTAAAACATTGCATGTAATGTAAAATAAATACCGATCAAACACTCAAACACTACAACACTACCACAGTAGTGAGTTACATGCACGCACATAACCTTAAAAAAATGTGATGTAAGGCTAAGGCACGGTTTACGGTTTATGTTGTTTGTCTTGGATTGTTCCCAGGGACTCTAGTTCCCCCTCCCCGAAGATTTTTGGTCGATAATAATTGTAGTAATGTAGTAATTCCTATTTTGGAACAAATGGACTGCATTTTGCAATTTGGAACTATAAATTCCGGCCCAGTGTAGAAACAACGTATGCGTCATTAGTTTCCCTATACACATACGTGTTTTTTCAGATGAGCCAGAATTTACAGCTCCAAATTGCAAAATGCAGTTCAAATAGTCTGTTCTCTGAACCTGAAGGCTCCCTCATCCCTCCGCAATCTCCGCGGACTAAGGATGGACGAATATCGAATTCGAATATTCGAAACTTTTCAAATGCGATTATTGCGAATATTTGAGAATTCGAATCTTGCGATTGCGAATAGTGCGGATGCGAATATTCGAATATTTTCGATTATTGCTTCGATTTTTGATTTTTTATTAACCGTGAGAGAAAAAATGACATTTTTGACACTTTTGAATGCGATTATTCGAATTTACGATTTCGAATACTACGGGAGCGAATTTTCGAATGTGATGCGATTATCTCGATGCCGATGACGAATATCTAAATATTCGACCATCCCTAACGCGGACTCCCCCAGTCACCCCCCCCTTCCCATCATGAAGGATGAGAAAAAGGGGGAGAGAAAGTAAAGAACGATGGGGAGCGGAGGAGCGGGTGGTGTGTCGATTGTCCAAAGATCAGAATCATGTGATATATTGAAATAGCCTCCATGCACGCTGGCCTTGTCGATCTCCTTTGACATTTTTGCATTCTTGAATGCATAGCTTAAAAGTGCTTCAGCTAGAATTGTATCTAGCAATAAGATAATTTTTATAGGATGGTTGAAAACAAACAAATGGTAGAAAATTAAACATGATAATAGGAACTTTGCAAAAGGATAATCCGAGTATCAGAACTTGGCTGTTTTGAAAACGCCTTCAATTGCGGCGTGATACCTTACGCATTCCGGAGAGTTCAAATAGTTGTATCATTGCGCCGTAAGAATGTGACTGAAGATTAAAATTGAAATAGCCTCCATGCACGCTGGGCTTGTCGATTTCTTTTGATAATTTTGCAGTCGTGAATGCATAGCTGAAGTGCGCTCCAGCCAATATTGTATTTAGGAAATGGGTGGTTTTTATACGAGGATTAAAAATGAACAAGTGGTACGGAATCAAACATAATAATAGGAACTTTGCAAAACGATAATCCGGGTATCGGAACATGGCTGATTTGGAAACGCCTTCAAATCCGGCGTGATACCTCACGTATTCCGGAGAGTTCAAATAGTTGTATCATTGCGCCGTTGGAATGTGACGGAATATTAAAATGGAAGTAGCCTCCATGCACGCTGCGCTTGTCGATTTCCTTTGACATTTTAGCAGTCGTGAATGCATAGCTGAAGTGCGCTCCAGCTAGAATTGTATTTAGCAAATGGGTGGTTTTCATACGAGGATTAAAAATAAAAAAGTGGTACGGAATAAAACAAAATAATATGAACTATGCAAAACGATAATCCGAGTATCAGAACTTGGCTGTTTTGAAAACGCCTTCAATTGCGGCTTGATACCTCACGCATTCCGGGGAGTTCAAATAGTTGTATCATTGCGCCGTAAGAATGTGACGGAAGATTAAAATGGAAATAGCCTCCATGCACGCTGGGCTTATCGATTTCCTGTGAATTAGAGTGTAATTAACCTAAACAGGAGAATGAAAAAATTTTGCTGCTTTGTTTTACGGGAAAAAAGCCCAGAAGTTTCACTCCTGCGATTCGAACTTTGGAAAAATCCTGTGGAAAGTCCCGTGGAGACAAGGCGTAAGAGTATCGGAAGAGAGCGGACATGGTAACATTACAAAAATTTCACTCATTTTTGCGGAATAACGCTGATTTATGACCATTCTTGGCCATTTTGGCTTCATACCTACAGCTTGATAATGGAATCTGAAGATTGGCAGTGAAATTTTTCTTTTTTAAAGGTTTTCTGCTATTTTCCATATTTCTACTTGTCCGTACTCTCCCTAAGGACGTAGGTAAGTACTCTAGAATAAGGCCTTGTCCCCACAGAGGGCGTTTTCATGGGATTTGTCCCAAGTTCGAATCGCAAGAATGAAACTTGCAGGCTTTTTCCCAGTTATCGTCCCCACAGGACAGGACTCTCACGACTCTACTTTCGCGTTCCTGTGAAAAGTTGGCGCGGGGCGATAAATTAAAAAATTCGAGTACCGGGATTAAGATAATAATTGAACGCGATTAACAATTACAAACTAATTTTAACCGAATAAACACGAACAATCGTGGAAACAACAAAATATCGCAAGGCTTCATACTACTATCCGACTAGGTTACGGGGGACTTGTATTGTCTACACTAAAAATTGAAGGCGGGCCGATTTGATGTTAATGTAATCGTCAGCTTCCAGCCAGCCAAAGTAGGTATCACAAGCGCCATGCAGGGCCGGATTTACGTAATTACCGCCCATGTGCCGCCTGTATTTTGCCGCCCCTTCTCGTTCATTTTAAAACATCGATATAAACCATCAAGTGAACGTGCCGGAGGAGGAGGGGTGCATAAGACGCGTTTACTCGTGTTGGGCACATTTTTTGTGAAAACCCTGTCAACACTGGCAAAAGTTCACGGAGCTTTGCGCGAAACTTAAGTTCCGTAAACCTCTCTCTGTGTGGACGAGGCCTTTCATTTCTAGGGAAAGAACGAAAAAATTATGAAAGAATAAACATGAATGTGGTTTAATTATTATTTTAATTTCCGTCACCGCGCCAACCACACTGTGTTTGGCGCAATGCGTGAAGTATCCTTATAGTCTTGTAGGCGGTATGCGTTTCACGCCGACCGCACTGTTTTTGACGCAATGCGTGAAGTATTCATGCAGTCTTGTAGGCACTATGAGTTTCACGCTAACCGCCGCTGACCGCACTACGTTTGACGCAATGCGTGAAGTATTCATGGAGTCTTGTAGGCGCAAAAATGTGTTTCATGCTGACCGGCGCGGCGCGCCGAGGGATTCTCCTTTCCAAATCCGGCCCTGGCGCCATGTGACGTTCCAAAATTTCCGCCGCCATTTTCATGGATGACGGTAGCTACCTCCGGCCTAATAGGTAATACTTTTTTACAGAAAAATTTTTGGTTGACTTTTATCGGCAGCACAAAAAAAAAATCAGTGAAATTTTCGAACAGCTTCGTTGAACAATTCCTCTGTAAAAAAAATAAAATGGTGGCGGATATTATTAAACGTTGCATGTAGCCTGTGATACTTTGGCCGGAAGGTGACGTGATCTTTCCCGTATGATAAAAAAAGCCATGGGTAAGCGTGTACAATAATTTTTCTATGACCCCTTTATTCTACTTATTCTCTCTAATATCTTCCCCCTCTTTTCGTCTTTCTCTTTCCTTATCTTCTTCCCTTTTCATTCTCTCTTTCTCTTTCATTCCTCTTCTCTTAGCTTTCTTCTTTCATTCTCATTTCTCCTTCCTCTTTCCTCCGCCCTCTCCTTTCTCTTTTATTCGGTCTCTTTCTCTTTTTTCTACGCCTGTGTCTTTTCTTCTCCTTTTTTTCTTCTTTAGAAAAGATCTCTGGAAATAGGTATTTTTCCTCTTTTTATCTTCCTCTTTTTCTTCTTACACTTTGCTTCTTCTTTTCATGTCTTCTTCTCCTTTCACTTATCTCCTTCTTTTTCATTCTCTTCCCATGTCCTCTCCAACGGAAAATAACAAAATAAAAGAAAGAAAGAAAGAAAGAAAAAATAAGGTCGGTGAAAGCATAAAAACAACGTAAAAGGAGCCCTTATGTTACTGAGTTAGGGTCATTTCGGCTAACCCGTCCAGTCTGTCGACTAATACAGAAATATTAATTAGCGCCATTACGCTCATTAGGTAAGCACATGACGCCAAATACTAGTGAATCGTATGATTTTTTTCACCCATCTATAAACCTATCACAAACACAGGTTTGAAGTTGATTCAGGTGATTTTATGACAAAAAAAAGAGGAAGAGTAAAATTCCCCGAAATATCATCTACGGATCATGTCACATGGAATCAAGGCTAGTATTTGCACCTCCAGCAGTTTACATTGATCATGTGTGTACGTCGGAATTTGGGGGAAAATTTTAGTTTCTATCCATGACTGCTGCGGCAGCAGTCGCAGTTAATTCCAGTTCATTTGCAAATATGGGGGTTGGACGGATAGTTGCAGGTTTCGTTTACGTGCAAAAGTATTTTTCAAAAATTTGAAGCCCTCAAGATATGGTTCATCTTTGCGGAGATAAGTTGAGCAGCGAGGAGAGCCTCTTCATGCTGAAAACATTTCTTGTAAGTACCTACTTTTCTCGCGTCTAAAAATTCGGGTTTTACCAAGAGTGTAAGTACAAAGTTGTCCGACTTCAAGTCCACAAATTTATTGCAATAGATATTGAATTTTTTTGATATAGTTTAGTAATGTTCGTCTCCGAGCTAAGTTTTGTTTTTATCTACTAGCTCATTATTTATCAATTTATTTATTTATCCAGTATTCCGCAAAAAAGATCGTGAACTCTTAGTGTGAACTTTTGATGCAATAGAACAAGGAAACTTCTTTGAAAGTTCATACAATGAAACACCTACAGTCGTGTTTTTAGCCGTAACTAGCCGTAACAATTTTTGCGCAGGTTTTCCAAAGAAACGTGAAAGGTAGCACTAAAAAAAAAAGGGAGACCGCCAAAAAACATAAAAATACGCTCTACAATCTACTTGGACTACACCCTGCATTGCTGCCGTGCTAAGGAAAAACGCAGTATGAACCTTCAAGCGTTGCCAAATTTCCATTTCTAAAACACGGATTTTCTGGTAAACTTATGAATATTTTTCGTCCAATTTTTCAGGTAATGTTGTTTGCAAGTCCACCTTTTCTGAAAATTTCAAGGAAAAATGTTCATAACTTTCCTCGAAAATAAACATTTTTTAAAGGAAATTTGGCAACTCTCGAATGTTCATGCGGCGTTCTCCCTTACCACGGCAGAATGGAGTGCCAGTATTTCTGGCTCATTCATAAAAGCACGTCCTTGGGTCCCTTGTTGGGGAAACTGATGACGTACCTTCACAGACAGACGGTGTGACCGTAGGAACGCGTAACTCGATTTGCGTCGTTGCAAACTTTCTGTCCCAATTTATTTTTAAAATTGAAAAATACTCAACGTTATTCCTTAAAAACTTCCCTGATTTTTCTTTTTCATGTGAAGATAAATCTATGAAAATTTTTAAGAAATAGCGTTGCTCTGTTTTCCTTTGATAAAATAAAATGGGAACGGAGATTTAAAACGACCATTGACGAGATTTGGGTTCCTCCAATGTAACCGTCGATGTGTTGTTTCTAAAATAAGTCAGGAACAGTGGTTCCTTGTTGCAAAACATAGTTCACTGGCGTGGAATTTTTTCCGGTTGCAAGATTCACCATAGGAAAAATTGTCACCTAATATTGAAAGACCCCCAATATAGACGCTTATCTGAAAACTTCATTTTCTAAATATATTTTTCTGTCAATTGTTTATTAAATGTTTATGTTTTAATTTTTTGTAAAAGATATTTTTCGGAGCGTTACTCATCGGAACTGCGGAAGGAAGTCTGACTTTTGGTCTGAGTGTGAGTATTAAAATAATTCTTGAATACAATAAAATATAATAAAAACGATAACAAACCGCCAAGATAATAAACTAATCCTTTTTAAAAAAAGAAAATTTGTAAAAATTACCTCGAGTGTACCAAGGAGAAAAATTCCAGGGGGAAGGGGGGTGGTTTGATACAGTTTTTAAGTTTCGATACCAACTAAGATGCAGATTTGTAGTTAGTATTTTTCTGTCGGGGTGCACGAAAATGATGTGTAAGTTAATTTTAGATAATTCCAGTCGCTATTCTATATAAAATACTCCTATTCCAAGAGCTCCTGACATCTCGTGTTTTAAATTTGAGTTCTCAAGGTATGAGCAGTTGCTTCAAACATGTAATGAGTTGTCGCTCAGGTTTTGCAGAATCGTTCAGAAAAGAAGACCGGATCACGTCTTTCCTGTCTTCGTCTGTGTTGCTCACGTAGTCATTGAAGCACCAGTACAAATAACACAAAAGGAGCCAACACAACATGAAAATCGAGCAAAGGAAAGGTTGCGCGTTCATTACGGCGCAAAGATACAACTATTCGTGCTTGATGGATGTCCATGTTGCATCTGCAAAATTGAAGGGGCGAGGGCGCGAGGCGTGAACTTGCAACGCTCCGCGGCTGTGTTGTCAGATTCGAGAGAGAAGTTAATCGCCTATCTTTGGCTGTGTTGACACTCGATTTTTTTTGTGGGGGTATATACTTGTAGACCATTATCTAAAGGTCTTATGTGCTGGCCCCCTACAACCTGCGGGGTACGCGTTTTTAGCAAGTCTCGGGTTAATTTGATCCGGCTTGGGCATCTAAGAGTTAAAATTACTAAATAATTAGAGCGAATAATTTGTTGGATGTTCCTCTGTTTTATTTTAAAAGTACACACGAAAAAGGGTGAAGTACAAAGTTTGTCAAAAAATGTAAAAGGCAGGACCTTTGCTGTGCAACACGGAGCAAAATTTCAAAAGGAAAGTCATGAGAAGTCGTTTGGCATGAGTATTAAATATACAAAGATTTAATTTTTAGGTATTCATTTAGCGAGAACTAAAGCTTCCTTCCAGAATTCGTCAATAATATAATGCGACGTATAATGTTTCAAGGCCAAGAAAACGATATCGTTGTTGCAAGACTTTGAGCGGTACATGGTGGAGTATGCCAAAAGTTACACCTCGTTTGCGGAGAAAATGATGCGATTTTCCGTCTTCAAGGAGAATCTGAGAATAATCGCAGATTTGATGGCCGGTCAGACAGGTACCAAGTTCGGCATCGGCCCTTACACAGATATGACTGGTAATAGTGATTTTCTTTTATTTTAAGTATGGCGATCATATATTCTTTGCGAGTGGTATTTGTGACTCAATTCAGATATATATCGATGGCAAAAATATTAAATCACAGATTTCGATTGCGAAGTTATAATTTGGAACATAGACTCAATTTTCCTAATAGCACAAGTAGGCGTTTGGTACCGGTAACTGAGAATTGATATAGTTTACTCCGCAAATTTGACAACTGTTTACAATCATGAACTGGATTGCATTTTGCAAAAAGGAACCAGAGGCATTGCCATGTTGCTAAGATTGTGCGACTTCACCCTTTGCAATAAAATTACTGTACCTAATCATGCAAAAATATGAAATTAACATGGTAATTGTGGTCTTAAATTTACATATTTCAGCGTGTGAAATAGAATATGTTTTTAGATGACCAAGTTTTTCTTCCAAGACAAGAGAAGTTGCACAATCTTAGCAACATTGCAATGCTCTTGGTTCCTTTTTGCAAAATGCAGTCCAACTGCTGTCTCTGGCTCAATTTAGGAATAACGTACTTGTCATTTTCCCCTTTCAAATACCTAGGTGATATTATAGATGAGTCAAAAACAATAGATCCTTGTTTCAAAATATAGCTCAATTAGTTTTTTTTTTTTTTTTTTACTGAGAAAATAGGCTTGATTTTGCGAGCACAGAGTGACTATTCCTGGCTATTAAAAAATCACTTTTATACCAAGGAGACTCATGACACAAATGTTGTATCTAATCTTTGCGATAGTCCATGGGCACGTTTTTGGGAGTTACTTCAAAATGTTTTACAATCAAATATTGTGCGCGAATACCTGCGATAGTAAAACCGTGATGGTACGCGCGGGGCTTTTGTTTTTTGTTTTTTTCCTGTCCTAAATGTTAGAAATTATCTATTGGTCGGTTGACGTTAGAGATAGCTGTACAGCTACCTTTTTGAGACAAAATTGTCTCCATTGAATGGCACGAGTTTCTGGTTTGCTGCTATTCTATGGGTAATGTTCGGTTCTCCCTGACGAGCTGTTTATGTCTGTTTTGCTGCTAATAGAAACCACTTGTATATCAGATTTATTCAGATGTTCTCGGAAAAGCACACTCATGGACCACTCACCTTGTGCTTCCACAGTAACAACTCGATACTCGCTTGCAATTTGCCACACGCGAGCTTGCGTCCTAGTCCTCGCTGCTAGCGGAACGCGTCAGGGAAGCTTGAGCGCCTTCAATTTATAGCATGCAACCAAGACAACCTTAGAGCACGAATAGTTGCATTAAGGCGCTACTATCGATGCCGACGCCTTTGCATCCTTGGCTTCGACCTAGGCACGGAGCTGAGGGCATCTTTTCCCCTCGTCTTCTTTATGTCTTTGATTATGACTTTATGTCTTTTTGAATTCAATGTTGCGAATCGTAGAAATGAAGAAAAATCTGATCGCTCTGACGACAAGGAAAATAACGGCATAAGGCATTTTCAGTGGATGCAGCGAAACGCGGTTTTACGGAAAAACATAATTGATATGATAAAAAAGTCCCTTCAATGTTGACAATTAGACTGACTCGCGCTTGTGAAAAACGCTGTATGACAATTTAGACATCAAATCTACCTTAATAAAAAGCAAGTTTCCTTAGAAACTTGGAAATCAATATTCAAATGTTCATAGGATTATTTTCCTTGTCACGGTAATATAGAGAGTTTGCTCGATGTCTTCTTTAACCTTTTTAGAAATTTACAGAAAGTATATAAAAAATCTTTGAAGTTTGCATTAAAATGGAAATTACACGGAGAAAAAAACCTCGTTCGTGGGACCCAAAGTTTAGGTGATATGGATCTCTGAAGTTTTTAGATTGAGCATCTGAACACTTAAGGTCTAGCTGTCGAGGTTCGGATCACACATCTGAAACTTCAGTTCGTACATTTGAAGCACTTCAGACGAAAGAACCGAAGTTTTTCGGATGTGAAAACCGAAGTACTTCAGATGTAAGAACTGAAGTTTCAGATGTGTGATCCAAACCTCAGCAGTTGGACCTTAAGTGTTCAGATGCTCAATCAGAAAACTTCAGAGATCCATATGACCTAAACTTCGGGTCCCACGCACGAAGTTTTTTTCTCCGTGTATCTCGCTGATTTAAGGTAATATACCTTTCGCTGTCACTTTATTCCTTCTTTAAAGGGGGATTTTCAACAAACATCTCAGTGAACTTCAACTGAAAGGTGACTCTTACAACTCTGAAATGACAAATAATCACAATTCTGATAAGATAAAAAAAAGCTGTGCCAAGTCTAATAGTGTGATTAATTTTTTTAGATGGAAACCCTTCATTTAAACCTCCTCGGATAATATTTCGTCATCATTGAACTACGATTAAAATAGTCTCATTTTCATTAGTGCGAAAGCTATGAATATTTTTCCGTGAGGACTAAAGTCATGTTCCGATCAAATTTCGGACAATATTCCTCGCAAAATTAGAAGAAAAACATCCATAAGTTTCTTGGAGGAGTACTGGTTGTCGAAAGAAATTTTGCAACGTCCGAATAAGGCTATTCATACGGCCTTCTCTGCAGCACGGTATATCATTACGACGGCGGCGTAAGTCCGCAATCACATATCTCGTTTGCGGTGTCTAAAAATCTCCGCCTCTACGTTATTTTTTTAAAGGAGAACACATTGACATTATTCCTTGAAGTTTATGCAGAAAAAAAGTAATTAAAACACACAGTTAATGCAGACATATTATGCAGAAAAAAATTTCATCGCAAAGCGAAGAAAAATCACGGCAGTCTTAAAGAATTGCCGTTGAGTAGTTTTCCGTTTAAAAAATAAAGTATGACAGGAAGTCTGCGACGTCGCAAACCGAGTTATGCGATTACCGCGCGCGAGTTGTGTGCGCCGCCGATAGCTTAGTTTTCATGAAGTGTTTGTCTTTTTACCTTGATATACTTTCTCCATTTTTTATAATTTACCTGAAATATATTATTTTTAATTCGAATGCTCAGCGGCAGAATTCGCCCGAGTGTACATGAATTCCCCAGGCGAGCGGCCCTTGCAGAGACAGAGACGAACACCAACTGTTACGACGCCGTTCAGGAACTTCACCCGAATGAGAGACTCCTACAATCTTGACAGCTTGGGCCCCTCCCGAAAAAGACCGGCGTCATTCCCTCCGGCTGGAAACGAATCCTCTGAGAAGAAGACGAAAATTTCCACTGCGGAGGCGAATCCTGTTTCCGATGACGAGTCCACGTCCGAGTTTCGTTATTTTGACGGCCCGAAGCTCGATCCGAAACCTTCCGATAACATGTACTGGGTGAACAGCAAGTATTACCCCGATCCACAAGACCAGGTTCGTTAACTCGCATTTAATTGAAACCTTATTCGATCTATACTGCTTCTTTTACTTTGATTATACTCAGAAAAATGTTGGGCTATTAAATCATGATTTAAAAAAAATGAGGACATTATAAGTGAACAAGTGAAATTGAAACATTCAATTCACCAAAAGAAAAATGAAATGTCACTCTAGTCCAGGAATTACACGAAAGTTGAGGGAAAAAATTAAAAATAAGCTGATTTTTGGCATAGTGAGTCCTTATGACCCCCTTGAGTCCTCCCCCAAAATAAAAACCTAAAGCCGTCACGGTAACGATGAGGACTTTTTTGGCGGGACTCAGGGGGCATAAGGACTCACTATGCCAAAAATCAGCTTGTTATTAATTTTTTCCCCTAACTGGCCGAATTTGTCGTATAATTTTTGGACTACTCCTGAAGGTAAATGAAAAATAAAGAAGATCGCTTCGCATTAATACCGAGTACAAAGAATCGAAGGGAAAATTGAAAAAACTTACATTTAAGAATTGAAAGGACTCGTCCTTCATGAGGTTCTAAAACTCCTCAGGGCTATCTGAGCTAAGAAATGGGCGTTTTGAACCGTTTTCTCAGCGCAATCCGAAAATTTTCAATTTTGACTTAAAAATTTAGCTCCATGTGTAATCCCTGTTTCTCGACTTTGGACGACGAAAAATACACTCATTTTACGTGGATTGGGGCGTAAAATCGATTGCGTAGGGTCCTGCGATTCCTCATGGCTCCCTGTGCCGAGAAACGGGGGTTTTTGACAATTTCTGATGATTCAGCCGCATGCCTCGTTCGCCGATCGCGCGAACCAGTGGACTCGTAGAAGGCATTTCAAACTAAATGACCCCTCAGCGGGCTGATTATTGAAATTGATTGACAAAGCTATAGACAAAGATGACAAAAGGGGTATAGAGGGAACCTATTGGTGGAAGCTGGTGGTTGCAATCCCAGGTAGCAATAGTAACAGTTCAAAATTGCAATTTCACAACAGTTTTTACACTGTTACTTTTGTGCACTTTTTCATCGAAAAATTTGCTCTAGTACAACAGTTGAAAAACCAACGGAAAAGAGAAGTCCTTTGCGACTATAATCACTGAAAAATTTTTCTTACATACTTAAAAAATACCAGTGGAAAATTTATAATTTAGTCATGTTTTCTGAAAATATAACACAAATTTAACTAGTGTTATACACCGATCGAAAAGGAAACTATTATTGCAATAAAAACATACTTAGATTTGAAATAAAACGACGGTTTAAAATTCTCAATCAAAATCACTTACTTAACAAAACTTTTTTAAAGAAAGGAAAGTAGATTANGACAACTGTTTACAATCATGAACTGGATTGCATTTTGCAAAAAGGAACCAGAGGCATTGCCATGTTGCTAAGATTGTGCGACTTCAACCTTTGCAATAAAATTACTGTACCTAATCATGCAAAAATATGAAATTAACATGGTAATTGTGGTCTTAAATTTACATATTTCAGCGTGTGAAATAGAATATGTTTTTAGATGACCAAGTTTTTCTTCCAAGACAAGAGAAGTTGCACAATCTTAGCAACATTGCAATGCTCTTGGTTCCTTTTTGCAAAATGCAGTCCAACTGCTGTCTCTGGCTCAATTTAGGGATAACGTACTTGTCATTTTCCCCTTTCAAATAGGTGATATTATAGATGAGTCAAAAACAATAGATCCTTGTTTCAAAATATAGCTCAATTAGTTTTTTTTTTTTTGGTCTACTGAGAAAATAGGCTTGATTTTGCGAGCACAGAGTGACTATTCCTGGCTATTAAAAAGTCACTTTTATACCAAGGAGACTCATGACACAAACGTTGTATCTAATCTTTGCGATAGTCCATGGGCACGTTTTTGGGAGTTACTTCAAAATGTTTTACAATCAAATATTGTGCGCGAATACCTGCGATAGTAAAACCGTGGTGGTACGCGCGGGGCTTTTGTTTTTTGTTTTTTTCCTGTCCTAAATTTTAGAAATTATCTATTGGTCGGTTGACGTTAGAGATAGCTTTACAGCTACCTTTTTGAGACAAAATTGCCTCCATTGAATGGCACGAGTTTCTGGTTTGCTGCTATTCTATGGGTAATGTTCGGTTCTCCCTGACGAGCTGTTTATGTCTGTTTTGCTGCTAATAGAAACCACTTGTATATCAGATTTATTCAGATGTTCTCGGAAAATCACACACATGGACCACTCACCTTGTGCTTCCACGGTAACAACTCGATACTCGCTTGCATTTTGCCGCTCGCGAGCTTGCGTCATAGTCCTTGCTGCCAGTGCTACGCGTCAGGGAAGCTTGAGCGCCTTCAATTTATACCATGCAACCAAGACAACCTTAGAGCACGTATAGTTGCATTAAGGCGCTACTATCGATGTCGACGCCTTTGCATCCTTGGCTTCGACCTAGGCACGGAACTGAGGGCATCTTTTCCCCTCGTCTTCTTTATGTCTTTGATTATGACTTTATGTATTTTTGAATTCAATGTTGCGAATCTTGGAAATGAACGTGCCGCCTATATCGACGGCGTAAGTCCGCAATCACAAATCTCGTTTGCGGTGTCTGAAAATCTCCGCCTCTATGTTATTTCTTTTTTAAAGGAGAGCAAATTGACATTATTCCTTGAAGTTTATGCAGAATTTTCATCGCAAAGAGAAGAAAAATCACGGCAGTCTTAAGTCTTCAGAATTGCCGTCGAGTAGTTTTTCGTTTAAAAAATAAAGTATGACAGGAAGCCTGCGGCGTCGCAAACCGAGTAATGTGATTGCCGCCTTACACCGTCGATAGCTGAGTTTTCATGAAGTTTTTGTCTTCTTACCTTGATATTCTTTCTCCATTTATTATTATCTGCCTGAAATACATTATTTTTAATTTGAATGCTCAGCGGCAGAATTCGCCCGAGTGTACATGAATTCCCCAGGCGAGCGGCCCTTGCAGAGACAGAGACGAACACAAACTGTTACGACGCCGTTCAGGAACTTCACCCGAATGAGAGATTCCTACAATCTTCACAGCTTGGGCCCCTCCCGAAAAAGACCGGCTTCATTCCCTCCGGCTGGAAACGAAACCTCTGAGAAGAAGACGAAAATTTCCACTGCGGAGGCGAATCCTGTTTCCGATGACGAGTCCACTTCCGAGTTTCGTTATTTTGACGGCCCGAAGCTCGATCCGAAACCCTCCGATAATATGTACTGGGTGAATAGCAAGTATTACCCCGATCCACAAGACCAGGTTCGTTAACTCGCATTTAACTGACATCTTATTCGATCTATAATGCTTCTTTCACTTCGATTATACTCAGAAAAATGTTGGGCTATTAAATCATGATTAAAAAAAATGAGGACATTGTAAGTGAACAAGTGAAATTGAAACATTAAAATCACCAAAAGAAAAATGAAATGTTACTCTAGTCCAGGAATTACACGAAAGTTAAGGGAAAAAATTAAAAACAAGCTGATTTTTGGCATAGCGAGTCCTTATGGCCCCCTTGAGCCCCCCCCCCCCCCCNCCCGGTATCGATAAGGACTTTTTTGGGGGGACTCAGGGGGCATAAGGACTCACTATGCCAAAAATCAGCTTGTTATTCATTTTTTCCCCTAACTGGCCGAATTTGTCGTATAATTTTTGGACTACTCCTGAAGGTAAATGAAAAATAAAGAAGATCGCTTCGCATTAATACCGAGTACAAAGAATCGAAAGGAAAATTGAAAAAAACTTACATTTAAGAATTGAAAGGACTCGTCCTTCATGAGGTTCTAAAACTCCTCAGGGCTATCTGAGCTAAGAAATGGGCGTTTTGGACCGTGTTCTCAGCGCAATCCGAAAATTTTCAATTTTTACTTAAAATTTAGCTCCATGTGTAATCCCTGCTGATTTTTCTCGACTTCGGACGGGAAAAAATACACTTATTTTACGTGGATTGGGACGTAAAATCGATTGCGTAGGGTCCTGCGATTCCTCATGGCTCCCTGGGCCGAGAAACGAGGGTTTTTGACAATTTCTGATGATTCAGCCGCATGCCTCGTTCGCCGATCGCGCGAACCAGTGGACTCGTAGAAGGCATTTCAAACTAAATGACTCCTCAGCCGGCCGATTATTGAAATTGATCGACAAAGCTATAGACAAAGATGACAAAAGGGGTATAGGGGCAACCTATTGGTGGAAGCTGTTGGTTGCAATGGACGAAGGCCATAGGTGATAGACTAACTAACGGCAACCCACGAGAAACCCGACAGTTAGTCCATCATTTTCTCCTTTAGTCTATAAGAACCACACATTTTAACCAATAGGATCGCTCCATACCCTCTTTGTCTTCTTTGTCTATAGCTTTGTCTGTCAATTTCAATGATCAGCCCGCAGGTCTGACAGGACGTTCCCGCAATCCGAGAACTTCCGTTTTTAACCACAAAATTTTACTCCTTTCTTTTTTGCTATGGCTTGGTTTACATTCGATATGAACTCTCACAGAAAAATATGCAGAGAGAGTTTTGCGGAGAATCATTCCGCAATTCATCTATGGACTCACTTCAAGCACTAAGCCCAAATAGCATTTTTCAACGGAAAAAAATGGCGATATTTTGAAATTAAGTTGGAAATTTTTTTTTACGAGTTTTCGGCGATGAAGTCGCCAGGATCATCAACATCTGAGCAATTATCCTTGATCCTGTCGCAATTTTATCTCTTTAAAATCGCGTTCGATAAAATCGAAATTTTATCTCGATTTATCACGATCTTTTCGCTCGACAATATTGCGCTATATCGCCATTTTATTACAGATTGATGCGATGAAATCGCAATTCATCGCAATTTTTTATCCCGTAATAATCCAATACATCGACTTCGATAAAACCGCGATATATTCTCCTATCAGATCGCAACTCATCGCGATTACTACTACTTGGGAACTTGAACTTTTAAGTTCAATTGAATTGAATGTTAATTCTACTTATTTTTACTATCAATTCAACAGTTTGAACCACAATGGTGCGGGTCCTGTTGGGCTTTTACAACTGCCGGCACTTTGGAAATCGTCCTATCGAGAGAAAAAAAGGCTATTGTCAGATTCTCAAAACAACGTGAGTATTGTCATAGATAAAAAAAGATGGGATCGTGGGGTTCCTGAGCTTAGCTGTTTTCATTCTCCTCTGATTCTCTAATTGTTCCCACCGAGTAGGCACTACAGTCGGCCAAGGTAAAAAATGTTTACCATAATTTGTAAGGCAGTTCTAATGTGCAATACGATGCATCTAAAAAACATGGTCGTTCCGCCGACAAAAAACGTCATATTAATTCCAGCGTTGTAAAACCTTTCGCAAAACTGAAAACTTCACGGATTCGTTTCTTCCGATTACACACAAAAATCAGCATAATTCTTGACAAAAAATGCACGATTATTCTTTTGTAGAAAATTGCAGTATTCGAATTAATTTCATAACATTAGGATGTGAGAAAAACGCTCCAAGTGCAAAAGGCCTCCGTCGAGGCTATTTAACCTTCCATTCTGCAATGCTTATCTCATAGAACTATATACCCCGTACTAGGTATACATCAGCTGATCAGATTGACTCTTTATAAAAAGATCCAAAGTAAAAATGATTAATTTGCTAAAAGCTATTTGATTGCCAGGGCCGTCGTAGCCAAGAAAGATTTGCCTGCAACATCCAAACAATATTGTCCGTATCTTAAGTACCGTATCTTAAGATATGAAACAATTTTCTCGAGAATTCTGCTGTACATATGAATTTGAAATATTCGCAGTAATTAATTACAATCAAGCAATACCTATTTGAATAAAATATTGCTAACATTATTGCCATGATCATCGTCGTACATATTTCTGGGTAATATTCATTTGAAAAAAGAGATATAAAACGGGGTCGTATTTACCTACTTGCCGCCCATGGGCAGCCTGTATTTTGCCGCCCCCTTCTGATTCGTTTTGAAACATCAATAAAAACCATCAAGTGAACGTACCGGAGGGGGAGGGGACGGGTGCGTAAGACGCGTTTACTCGTGTTGGACACATTTTTTGCGAAAGCCCTGTCAATATTACTAACAAAAGTTCACGGAACCTTGCGCGCATTCCTTTTTTTAAGTTCCATAAACCTATTTCTGTGTGAACAAGGCATTCCATTTGCAAGACATGAACGTAAAAATTATGCAAGAACAAACATGAATGTGATTTAATAATTTTAACCTCCGCCACCGCGCCGCGCTGATAGCACTGTGTTTGGCGCAATGCGTGAATATTCTTGAAGTCTAGTAGGCGCTATGCGTTTCACGATGACCGCACTGTTTTTGACGCAATGCGTGAAGTATTCGTGCAGTCTTGTAGGCGCTATGCGTCTCATGTCGACCGCTGCTGACCGCACCACGTTTGACGCAATGCGTGAAGTTTTCGTGGAGTCTTGCAGGCGCAAATATGTGTTTCATGCTGATCGGCGCGCCGAGGGATTCTCCTTTCCTAATCCGGCCCTAGCGCCATGTGCCGTTTCAAAAGAAATGAACGGAAAAATTATGAAAGAACAAACATAAATGTGGTTTAATGATTTTAACTTCCGCCGCCGCGCCGCGCCGCGCGGACAGCACCGTGTTTGGAGCAATCAGTGAAGTATTCCAACAGTTTTGTAGGCGCTATGAGTTTCACGCGGACGACCGCTGCTGAACGCACTGCGTTTGACGCAATGCGTGAAGTATTCACGCAGTCTTGTAGGCGCTATGCGTTTCACGCTGACCGCACTGTTTTTGACGCAATGCGTGAAGTATTCGTGCAGTCTTGTAGGCGCTATGCGTCTCACGTCGACCGCTGCTGACCGCACTGTGTTTGACGCAATGCGTGAAGTATTCATGCAGTCTTGCAGGAGCTAATATGTGTTACATGCCGACCGCCGCGCTGAGGGCTTCTCCTTTTCATCTCAAGTCCTCATCATCATTGCTCTCTGCGTCGCTCCATGCCATATTGCGTGTTTGGTTTCTCTCTTCACTCGACCAATTAAAAGTGCTGTCTCTTGTGTCACCGAAAGATGCTTTTCTCGTTTGTAATTTTTTTCTGAATCCGATTTTTTTTATACTTACCTGTATTTAAAAAAAAGTTGCAAAATTTGCCGCCATGAGCCGCGGCCCATATGGCTACCCCCTTAATCCGGCCATGATGTAGAATAGTGATCGTATAAGTCACGTAACTCAGTAAAACAGAGGTAAGCACCAACACTATTTTTTGGAAATGGCAACCATAATATTACTACAGCACCCCGTTACAAAACGAAGGTTCACCTATATGTATTACAGGAACGCGTACCTCTGTTTGCGCCATTGCAGAATTCCTTTTACACTTCGTTTACAAATGAAAAAATGCTGAACATCATTCCATAAGAACTTTTTTGATTTTTCTTTCTTGTGAGTTAATCATCTTGTGAAAGTCTCAAGCAATAGAAGCGTTACTTTGTTCTCCTTAAGTAAAATAAAATGGGAGCAGAGCCTCCGAAATATCGCCAACGAGATATTATGCGTTCCTCGTGTTTCACCGTTGAATATTACTTTATTACTATCTGCGTCTTGTAAATCGTACCTATTTCCTCAATGTCAATGCAACACCCTTCATTCAACATTGCCGCGGCTCTGAGAATATCGAGGCATTATCATTATCAGAGCAACGATGCTTTGCATTTTTGATAACGCTTACTTCATTTTGATTATTTCGGGGACAGAGCTGGTGGACTGCGTGAAAAGAGCCCACGGCTGTAATGGGGCGGATGTAATATTCCCGCTCACGTACCTGAAAGTCAAAGGGATCGCCAAAGAGGAAGACTACCCTTACACGGCGAAAAATGGAACTTGCAATGAAAAAGCCGTTCGCAGCGCTGTCAAAGTTAAAATGTTTCACACAAAGCACAGTGAGGAAGAGATCATGGAAGCTTTGAAATATTCCCCGGTCATCGTGAACATGCACGTTCCGGCAGAATTTCAGGTATATTATTTCATGAAATAAGGAGCAACATAACAAATCGACGGTGTAAGTCGGCAATCACATAAGTCGTTTGGGGTGTCTGAAAATCTCCGCCTCCATGCTATTTTTTTAAAGGAGAACAAATTGACATCATTCCTTGAAGTTTATGCAGAATTTCCTTCGCACAGATAAGAAAAGTCACGGCAGTCTTGAAGAATTGCCGTTGAGTAGTTTTCCGTTTAAAAAATAAAGTATGACAGGAGGTCTGCGACGTCGCAAACCGAGTTATGTGATTGCCGACTTACACCGTCGATATAGATATAGATATGTTAGATATAGATATATCTAACATATCGACATCTAACCCTAGTTGCGGAGTTCAATTTTTATATCCTAAAGGAATTGAGGGTCTTGGAGGACAAGGCGCATGAGTGCAGTTTTTGCTATTTTGAGAAATACTGAACTATCGAAATTAACTGGATCCTTATGGCGATAAGAAAGTTCAAACCGACTTTTAAATGCTTAAAAATTGGAATTTGGAAGCGAATTATTACTCACAGAATATGCATTAAGACTAGTTCTACTTGAAATCATTAATATCCCAATTTTTTCAAAAACTGCACTTATGCGCCTTGTCTTCTAAGCCCATCAAAAGTAGAACAAAAACATAAAAGTTATACCTAATATAAATACCTATATACGTTCCTGCAGGGCCCTTTCTAGGGAAAGAACTTTCCCGACTTTACAGAAAAATGGATTTCCAAAATAAAATAATGTTGTAAAAATGAAAAAAACGAAAAACTGTATTTCTAATTTGTACATCAGTTATAAAATTTGTTTATCAGCTATAAGTTGCTTTTAAAAGTTAGAAGAGATAATGATAATTTTTCAACCGTCAATTCATTATTTTTGTTGGAGGACGTTCAAAAAGAGAATAAATGACATCACTTCGAATCGTAAGCATCTCAAAGAAAATCACATTTTAAGCAGTGGCGTGGCGTGAATTGCGATATATCGATTGTATGTCATTTAAACCTATGGTAAAGAATCGATTATTGAGGTGTTCGCTGCGGACACCCTGTTACCCCTGTGACACCCTTGCGATCCTTTTCCATAGGTTTAAATGGTATAACAATCGATATATCGCAAAGCACGCCACGCCACTGATTTTAAGTAAGGATACTCCTGCGACTCATGTTCATCGGATTTCATCATTAAACTTCTGTGATTCCGTCAACTAAATTAAAGAGGTTTAATTAAAAGTTAAAACTCTGAAACCCTGTTTAGAGAAACACCTTAAACTGACGTAAGGTACCATGGAAGTTTAGACTTCAAGGGCAAAACAGTTCTGGAAGAAACCTCTATGATATTTTCACCTTAACTAACTTTCATTTTTGTAGGATTTACATTTTTAAGCCGATAAAATGTAACTCTTTTGTATGATGATTTCATATTTCAGCACTACCGAGGCGGGCTCTTCGATTCAAAATATTGCAAAAGTAATTCAACGACGCGATATCACTCTATGATCCTTGTTGGCATTGAGAATGGTAATATTTGGTTTATCTTGAGTAAACGTCATTCAAAATTCTATACACTGATTGTGAGTCAAAATCACGAATTCGATTTATGCTCACTGGAGATTAAGAATTCGTTCCAATTTCGAAAGAGAAAATTAGGGGTTGAGCTTAGCACAACAGCCCTCTTATTTGTTTGATGATTTTAGCTTGAAAATGCCTTTTCTAACGTAGATCTGATTTGGTTCCTAGCTCTCATACTTAATGTGTATTTAGAATGTAAAAGGTGGTCAGGTCACTTTGGGATACAGGGTGATAAGTGGCCCATATTTTGGCGAGACTCTTTCACGAGTTCGCGACTCCTCAATAATCCACCAACCGAATTTTGAAAATGGTCAAATCTAGTTTCGTATTGATTTCGTCTTTAGTACAATTGAACCACATTAAGCAATTCGGAACTATAATTTTTGGCTCAATTGAGAAACAACTTATGAACCATTAGTTTCGGTATGCACATAAGTGTTTTTAAAGATGAGCCAGACTTATAGTTCCGAATTGCTTAATGTGGTCCAATTGGTTTTTTGAAGGAACATGGACGTACTTAATTTAATTTTAAAAAAAAACCGTCCTCAAATAACACAGCTGATAAAAAGGTATTCAGCAATTTGGAGCAATATAAAAATCAATGAAATTACTGCAAGCGATGGAGGGGAAAGGCGGGGGTCGGAAAGAGTGAAAGAGAATATTGTGTACACTTTAGGAAGTCTCCTTTTGAGGCAAGTCTTGATTTGAATCCTATTTTTGATTTCAGAGCAATGGGTTTTACGAGATAGCTCGGGTTTGAACTGGGGCGAAAAGGTAAGTGATCAGTGCCGTACATTGAAAGATACTATTCCTCTTAATATTTTATATTTTGCCGGGTTGTATACGGTGGTGCATCGCTCGATTAGGGATATGAAAAACACGATGAACCAACTCCTCTCCTCCTGAAATGAAGTATGGTTTCGAATGGCTTTTCATCGAGTGGCACATGAAGATTCCGAGTGATTCCACAATGAAGAGTGCCTTCATTTCTTAGAGATGCAATACGGACGACCAATGAGTGCGAATAGTTGTATCCAGGCACCTTCATTGGTGCCTCATGTGGCTTTACCTTTTATTGAAAGCGCATATACCTACATATTCGTGTAAATTGACTTGAAAATGTTTGTTTTGCGCAGGGTCATGTTTTTATAAAAATAGGAGAGTGCGACATTGGAAGAGACAGTTACGCAATCACAGAATGGAAGGACATGTCTGCTGATTCAGGGCTTGCCGGTTCTTTGCATTGACTGCAAATTGGAAGGAAATTGATGACTTTTGCTGATTCTTGATTTCTTGATTGGTGTTTAGTACGAACATGATCGATTGCGTCCGAGAATTTCGACGAAATATTTCCAATTTTCTATTGACAACATTTCCTGAACACGAAATATCATGTGCAATTATAGTCAATTTCATTGAACAGTCTCGAATTAGACGGATTAAACACGATCTTTTGCGTTTGGATACTTTGAGATTATTTTAGGGATTTATTTTTTTTTTTTTTTGTAGGAAATCCGACGTGTCCTTTATACAATTTGTAGATATAATCACTTCTTTCTTTGTATTTTACTCACTTTTTTCAACACCCTCCTTTCAACCTTTTCGGATTTCTTTTCATGTTTTGATCAATGATTCTAATCAAGAGGGTTGGAGGAGAATTACTTATTACCTCCATAATGGAGGAATTAATGCATTCGCCATTACTAAAATCAAAATTTTTATTTGTCAATGACTTAATTTTTCATTTGTCAAGTTTTACTGTGGCATTAATGAATAAAAACGGAAAACTTCGAGGGTTGGTCTACTCAAATTCTGCGAAATTGAAAAAGTTATTCCATATTTCATCCGCACGAAATAAAACGAGTCACTACGTAAATGTTCCATAGAATCTTTTCAGCTGATATCAGCAAGTGGGTACACACTACACACTCAAATAATTTCATGCAATCTACATTTTTGTTTGTTTTTCTGTTGGAAAAATTGAGTTGGCTTGAACGGGAAGCTCGTGTGATAATGCAAAAATCAAGATGGTGCCGTCGAGGTCTGAAAGTGCGTCAACTTATTTGGAGTGGACTCTACGAGTGCACAACACATAATACACGAAAACACCTCGAATTACAGGAGTCACGTGTTTTAAGTTTTATCGATGGTTTTTGTAACACATGAAGTTCACTCACTTTTTTGTAGGAATCAATCATTATTGGGAAAGAATAGGAAAAAAAAGACCAACTAAAATGATACTAGACTTTAATGTAGGTATGTACAAATAACAACGACTAAAGTCAAACAGCGCGCATCGGGAGATATTTACGTTCACATAATTTTGCTGGAAATGTTTCTTTGATGTGAACTTGAAGATGCGGAACCGTGATCCTAACCGTTTTACGTTCGTGAGGAACAGATCTGTCGGTTTTCATTCGCATTGAGAAAGCACATGATCGATTGCAAAATTATAGTGACAGTGAATATTCCGCCAAAAGTTTTTGGACTTGCATCGTTGATATGATGTCTCATTACAGATGTATTCATTTAAAACGTTTTAATCAAAAGTGTTATATAATACAAAAAGGTTTTGCTATAACTGCGGGTAAAATCATATCTTTAAAGTTTCTCAGGTTTTTACAAGTCACTTAATTTAAAAAGCACAACAAAATTAAATTAATGTATACGATATACACAGCTAGAAAAGTCGAGTAATATTTTTACAAAGTAAACTAAGATTGATATTCAAAGTTTGAAATGAATTCAGGTAAGAGTCTCTTAAACTTCACAGCTCGCGTTTTCATCGAGAATTTCAAGCGACGTAGGGCTTACATCTGAGCTGTTGGGAACGAAAGTGGCACAACTTTGACGCAACAGCTGGCCAATATTAAAGGCATTTTATTTTTTAGTTTTTTGCATGGAAAAGGCAATCAGCAAACTTTTTTGGATGTGCGTTAAAGTCACTGACATCTTCACGAAGAAATGTGTGAAAGTTCTTCCTATTGGTAGATAGTGTTGTCTTGAAAAATTCTCAGACATAGCCACTGTATGCGTTACACCACTTTTGCTCTCAACAGCCCATTTAAACAAAGAAGAGGGAAACTTCTCTAAGTATTGATAGGGTGATAAATATCCGTAATCCATCATTTTTATTATTCGTGCCATCAAAAGACCTCTGCTCACTGCAAGACATCGCTTTAGTCTCAGGTGGACTTTCGGTAAGAAATCGGCTTAGTATTTCTCAGTATTCGCTAAGATTATATCAGCTTCGCCGACGCTATCAAATTTCTTCTAGTCTAATGGTATCTTCGAAGAATGTGAGAGAAAATCGCCTATTATCTTATTTTTGAAATTTTGCCCCAACTTCGAAATCACCAGGGATCATGGGCAGGGGCTGAACATGTCACCAGAGGTTTTTCATTTACCAATTTAAGTAGACTTCGGTTCATTTTTTAATGTCTACACAGATGGCCTTGAGTTATGCTCGCAGCATTATTCTTGGAGAATATCCAATTTTTATTACGTTTACCAACTCGAATTGTCTTCGGCAGAGGTTTCACTATCTTTTTGTTATTACTTACATCCAATGCTCATAGCTTTATCAAGAAGAGTAACTGGAGGGTGTTTTAATTGGAAGTTTCCCAGGATAATGAACAACTGATCGAATTAAACATTTTTATCTCCATAAAAAAAGCCCATAAAAATAATGATAAATTCATTGAGCTCCAAATATAAATCCGAAGGGGAATTTTAACACTATTTAGACGGATTTAAACAAGATTAGAGTAACTTCATCTCACGTAGTCTGATTTTCTCTCATGCTTCGTTTTTTTAAAACGGAGAACTTAACTGCTCAACGACTTTAAACTTTCTGCGAAATCGCCCTAGATTATGGAGAATACACTCACAAAATGAACGATTCGACGATTGCTTACTTTCCTATTTAAAAAATAAGACACCAAAGCAAATTAGGCAACGTATGATGTGGTCAGCAGTAGCGTGGCGTGAATTGCGATGTATCGATTGTTTTGCCATTTAAACCTATGGTAAAGAATCGATTATTAAGGTGTTCGCTGCGATCACCCTGTTTATCGATCCTTTTCCATATGCTTAAATGGCATGACAATCGATATATCGCAAAGCACGCCGCGCCACTGGTAGTCAGGCTGATTTAGATTAGACTTATTCATTTTGAAGAGACACTATCTCAAATTCTAAACAGCAGCGATTCGCGCAATTTGGCAACAAGGGGTTTCCCCCATTAAAACGAACAGAAAACAATCGATACATATCGAAGCGTACTACGTAAACCAGAATCGAGTATTCGTAAGGTTTTAAATGGAGGAAAAGCAGTGTTGCCAAATCGCGGGAGTCGCGACCGAGTTTAAACAATAAAAACAAACGAGCGTCGAAAAGACGCTCAGTAACATAGAATTCACGATAATACAGATTAACGTTTATAAAATTTTTTATACAAATTTTCATAGTCTAAACTATATGCGACCCGAACGCTTCGTTGTCGGTCGAGAGGGACTTTTTCATTTTTTTAGAGGCAGTAGATTAGCGTGAGCCTTTTGGGGAGGGGAAAGAATCTCCGCGGGGATGACGTAGCGCTCAATCCCACTCTCCGATGTACATCGTTCGAGGTGTCGGTGGAATGAACGCACGTGTTGGGATCGGCAGTCGTCCGTAGATGTGGTTGTATGGAGAGTCCATGAGTTCTGCATCTGGAATAAAAGAGGGAACGATGAATTTCAACCCACTTACCGATGAAGGGGTGATCAAGGTACACTGGAAAAAGAACACATTGGATCTAGAGTCCAGACTCTTAAAAACATTGACATGATTCAATCAGATTTAAGCTTAAATCAAGAACCAAGCCTCTTAATTCGAGCGGATTTCCTTTAGATTTAAGCTTAAATCTGATTGAATCAAGAGTCCTTTTTCTCATCTATGTTTTCAAGATTCTGGACTCTGGATCCAATGTGTTTTTTTTCCCCAGTGTATTACGTAACATAGCTAATACTGCCGTGCTAAGGAAAAACACCGTATGAACATCCAAGAGTCGCAATTTTCCCTCTACTAAAAGGTTTATTTTTAAAGAACTTTAAATGAATATTTTTCCCTGAAATTCTCTGGAACTTTGAATGAAATTGCAAACAAAATTATCTGACAAATTGGAGGAGAAATATTCATAAGCTCACCAGGAAATTCGTGTTTGACCAAAGGCAGTTTGGCATCACCTGGAGGTTTTTACGGCGTTTTTCCTTAGCACGGCAAAATAGGTATGAGGGTCATATGCAAAGTCGTACCTTTAAAAGGGCCGTCCATTAAAATTACGAGGCGCGATTTTTTCGATTTTCTGACACGTTTATGGCTAATTTCTGAAGCCCCCACGAGTCATACACGACTAATAGATTGAAGTCAAATATGATTGGTAAAATGAAAATTAGAAGCACTCAATTAAGAAATAGGTATATCTATTGGACGTATTTCTACCAAACAGACCTATATGCAGGTGAGAAATATGGGGTGTGCTCGTCGAAGCTGCATAAGAAGCAATGTAAAAGTGTGCGTGATTCCTTTTGAAGAATTGGAAAAGCGGGATATTACATTCTATCAAACAGACCTATGTGCCAACTGAATGCGGGATTCATGAGCCGCCAGGATGGGACGAGAGCGTTGTGGACAGGGCTCATGAGTTAAAGCAGCCCACGAGCGACAACGGCGACGGTTTCTTCGCCGCTGACGTCACTGGCGCTTCATTATTCTTATTCACTCTTATGGCCAGAGAACTAACGAGCACACACCATATTTCTTACTTGCACATAGGTCTGTTTGATAGAAATACGTCCAATTGTATCTCAGTATGTTGGAGTTTTTTGGAGGAAAAAACTCCAACATACGGTCGTACGAGTGCGTCTACCGCAATCAGTTTGTGTCAATCGTATCTCCATAAAATCGCGTTCGATAAAATCGAAATTCATCTCAATTTATCACGATTTTTAGTTCGATGATATCGCGATGAATCGCCGCCGTCGATAAAATCGCGATTTTATTGCAAAATGCAATGAAGTCGCAATTTTGTATCCGATAAATATTGCAATAACTCAACGTTGATAAAATCGCGATACATTCTCCGAACAAATCGCAAACTTGTTGCGATCACTGCTACTTGGGTACGGAGAGAAATGCGGTTGAGATTGTTACGGTGAGTCGGGGACTTACCCATGCCGCTGTCATAACTTCTTGCGTGCCACATGGGCGGGTGTGGTTGGTGTGGTTGCGAGTGGTAATAGTGTTGGGCGTGCGGCGAGACGAGGTGTCCGTTGCTGGCGCTGGTCGGGTGGTGCCCCATGCTCATCCCCATTCCCATCCCGTATCGAGTCGCCACCGACGAGCCGTTCTTTGAGCCATTTTTGCTAGGGTCTTTCGACTTGGCCACGAAATTCGGTATCCTAGCTCGCAGACCGCAGTAGTATGGGTCATCTGAAATGAAAACAGTATACCGGGTTAGAATTTTTGAAATTAAAAACAATATTGAACCTATGTTTAGGGCAGTGCTCCAATTTCCCGGAACTACTTCCAAATGCCGGAACTTTTGAGATTTTCCTGAAATTTTCCCGGAACTTTTGAAATTCCCGAAATATTTCGGAACTTTTGCATTTTACGGAATTTCCTCGGAACTTTTGAAAAAATCTTAAAAGAATCCCGGAACTTATGACGATCATGCACACTGAAAGAAAAATCTCGGTGAATTTACTAAGAAAAGGGTAAAATTACTAAGAATTCAGGGTTTTATTTGATCCCAGTTATTTCTTGGTAAAATTACCATTTATGGAATTGGTAATTTTACCGAGAAATCTCGGTAAAATTATTGGACTTTCTCGGTAATTTTACTGGACCTTGGTAAAAACGCCAATATTTTTTATCGACTGTGGTAGAATTACCGAGATTAAATGGAAAAGTTACCGGGAATTGATTACCAATAAATGTGGTATTCTTACCTGAAAAAAACAGTAAAAATACCGGTTTTTAGGTAAGCTTACCAGTCTGTCCTGGTAAAATTACCAATAATTGGTAAAAAAAGTGAGATGGTAGAGGTACCAACGGACCTTGGTAAAAACGCCGAGAATTTTTTTCCAGTGGAGCAGTGCTTCCATTCCATGTCCGTCAAGAGTTCCGGGATTCCTTTTGGATTTTTTCAAAACTTCCGAGAAAGTTCCGGAAAATCCATTGGATCCGGATCGTTTCGGGAATTTCTAAAGTTCTGGGGAATATTCAGGAAAATCTCATAAGTTCCGGAATTCGAAACTAGTTCCGGGAAATAGAAGCACTGTTCAGGGAAATAGTGAGGATAAGTTGTCGCCCACACAGGCAGAAACTCCCTCTCCAAAGAATGAAGGAGGCATTGGAAAGTACAGAAGGAGTGGGAATAATTTTCTGAAAAGCCACGGAATGCAATTACGAAATTTCTTTTGGGATTTAGCGATGGAATCTTTGAAGTTCCAAAACGACGTGCAGGGCTCAGAACGAGGCATAATGTGAGTAAAAAAAGAAGAAAATAATTAAAAATCCGGATAAGATGGTTATCTCTTAAAAATTGAATAGAATAAAGAAACGCGGGTTTTGAATATTAAAAATTGTATCAATTATCCGGTTAACGTACGTGGATGCGTACTTCTTGCACTTTTCGGACAGACGGACAGGCCTGCATATTTTCATTTTTAAATGGAATCTAAGAGTCGAAAATGATCAAATATGCATGAGATTTTATTCGCATTAAAAAGAAGTATTTAACACATGAATTCAAACAGGAGCCGAACTATAAAGCACGCACAGTACATTTTGACAGAAATACACCCATTCAAAAAGAGGGAAGTTTTGATCTACAAATAAACATTGAAAATACTTGCCATATTTCTTATCTTTTGTCTTCATATTGCTATTATTGCTACCATTCATATTTCTTGTCAATGGGAAATTTTTCACTCCACCTAGTCTGTTCTCCTCCTCCTCGATATCATCGTAGTCGGGCTGAAACGAAAATAAATATACCAATTATGAACTTCCTAGAACAATTCTTCGGCACATAATTGTGCCCAACTTCACAGTAATCATGCAATGAGTACAGTTGAAAAGCTGCTTAGTCAATGAAAACATTTTGGCTCACCTGTAAAATACATTTAGAGTTCCCACAGTTGGTTTTAAATGCCAGTTATTCGAAACATAAAATAAAGTCGTACGTCAGAGTATGGTAATAATTCTAAAAAAAAGTAGGCACTGTCTTCTACTTGCATCAAAGTGAGCGCATCAAACATCACGAGTGCATGTGTTTCGCCCACTACGCATGTATACAATATTGCATCAGCCGTAATTGAAGGGTGACTGTACGTCCGAAATTATTCCAACGGGCACGGACAGTGATGAGTCGGCTGTGTGATGGTGTTAAATTATCCACTCTTCTCAAAACACACTCTTTCCCATTCGAACGACTTGGATGGATTTCACTGGGTCAACCTAGCTGAATTTCACGTTCCCCGATATCCTTTCCTTGTTTTTTATTTTTTCATTTAATGGAAAACTAAATAATATAACGTCTTTAAACATTCTCTAAACTTCCCCTCAGTCATACTCAGCATATACTTAAAAATTTCATTTGATTTTTTCGTGGAAAAAATAAAGCACGAGAAAAAATTAGGAATAACCTGATGTAATTAAGTTGATTCTACTTAAATCTCTCGTTGAGTCGGTGGCGTTTTCCTATCGATTACCTTTTCAGGATGTAAGACAGTATATAATCGTATTCATGGCTACAGGTCGTGAGAAGGCAACTATTTTAAAACGAGTGAATGCGTTGTGCCTACACGAGTAAATGAAGGCAAACAATGCCAGCACAGTACACGGCGAGCGCCACACAGTAGATCAAGTCATCAAGAGAGGTCGGACATGAAAGTTTTGATTAAAACTGCAAATTTAGATGTTTGTTTCGTCACATTTTAAATTATAAGGAGTACTTCTGGAAGAAAATTTGACGAGAAAACCAATGGAACCTCTTTTAGAACCTCAAAGTTTTGTATAAACGGAGTCATAAGCGTTTAAAGTTTCCAAATTTTGTCCGATCTCTCATATTGGCTCGATTCACCGTGCGCCGTGTAAAAGCCTTCGATTCGCAAAAATGCACCGGAAAAACATTGAGATTTTAAGGTAAAGACGCGAGAGAGTGGCATTACCTTTGGTATATCGTGCGGATAGTGATTGTTGTCTCTGGGGGGAAGCTTGGGTGGTTTGTCGCTGCGTCTGAGGAGTTGTTCCCTTGTTGCGGCCACCATGCTTCCGCTGCTGCCCGAGGAGGTTCCACCTGTCGTCGCCACGCTGTAAGGGTCCTCGTCTGGGATCGGGATTCGGGGTCGGTTCCTGATGTCCACCGGTCTTTTCACTGCAACAAAATCGAATCGACGATGATAGTTAGCGGGGAGAGCCGGGGAGACTTTAACGCAGCATAGAAAAAAGGGCGAGTAAAACGCGATCGGAGGCCGTTCATAAAATATGTAAAAATGAAAATTAGATTTTCTGACTATCTTCCCTCTACTTCCTCCCTCTTACCTTTCCGCGATATACCCCCATAACCCCCCAAAAAAAGGAAAATTACAAAACGTTCTGTCCAAACCTTTCAAACGGGGCGCATTGCGATGAATTTAGGATCACTGAAAAAAACACATTGTATCTAGAGTCCAGACTCTTGAAAACATTGACAAGAAAAAATACTCTTATCTCAATCAGATTTAAGCTTAAATCAAAAAGAAATCCGCTCAAATTAAGAGCATTGGTTCTTGATTTAAGCAAAAATCCGATTGAATCAAGAGTACATTTTCTCGTCGATTTTTTAAGAGTCTGGACTCTAGATCCAATGTGTTTTTTTTCCTGTGATGGAAATTTCCACCTCGCGTCAATTTTTCGTCTTGAACTTTTATGACAATCGGCGCTGCTTTGTACGTTATGGAGCCCTGAGCTCTACCTCTTCCTGTTACGCACCCATAACGCGGACTCAAGCCCCCCTACCCTTTGAGCGTTCCGTATTTGATGAATGTTACTTCAACCCGGTTCCGAAATATGAGCCCACTGATCTCTCACTGAAATTACGATTGTCAATAATAAAAACGTTGAGTTCAATGATGGGATTTCAAAACAGCATGGGAAGAATTATTTCAACTTTACAGATTACTTTTACAGATTGGTACTTTCACTATCGACGAATACATGAAGTCAGAAGCGACATATCTTGCACCAATTAACTCTTGTGGTTGAGAAAAAGGCACGATGAGGGAGTAAGTAGGACAGAATTAAGTTTGGACCTCGGCGTACAATTTTATTCATGCTGTGAAAGAGGGAGTTACTTTATCGAGGGGATCATCGCTGATAGGGAACATGCGTCGAGTCTGTGAATATGATAAAAAAAAACTTCGTTTCCATTTATTCCCTGCAAAATACACCGTTTGTTTTCATTCACTGGAAAAAAACACATTTTATCTAGAGTCCAGACTCTTAAAAACATCGACAAGAAAAAATACTCTTGATTCAATCGGATTTTTTCTTAAATCAAGAACCAAGCCACTTAATTTGAGCGGATTTCCTTTTGATTTAAGCAGAAATTTTTATATTGTCATGTTTTTCTTGTCAATTTTTTCTTATCAATGTTTTCAAGAGTCTGGACTCTAGATCCAATGTGTTTTTTTTTTCCGGTGTTTGCTATTGACCCAAACTTATGAGAAGGCGGATAACGACGGTGAAACTACCAAACCACGTATCTCGGTTTGCGACGTCGCAGACTTCCTGTCATACTTTATTTTTTAAATGAAAAACTACTTATCGTCCAGTCTTGAAAATTTCTGTGATTTTTCCTCTTCGTGCGGAGAAAATTCTGTGAAAATTTCAAGGAATGATATTGATTTGGTCTACTTTAAAAAAATAAAATGCGAGCGTGGATTTTTAAACACCGCAAACGAGATACGTGGTTTGGTAGTTTCACCGTCGATAAGCTCCTCCTCACACTCAATCAAGTGTTTCATGCCCTGAAGGTAAAAATATCTCTCTCTATTTTCGCATGAATTTTTCTCTACTTTGATGAATTATTATTAATTTTACCAAAACTCGGAGCCATGGTCAGCTGAGTATGCCTCGGGATTCAGCCCACACATGTTTTAATAGGAGTGTTTAATTCCTCTCCGAATTTGGTCACGGTCCCAACCTGACACCCCAACAATAACTTTACGTGATGAGTTACCTCATGCCCTCGAAGATGTTGTCGATTCTCTTATAAAATCAGCATGTTTTATATTAACTCTTACGGAGTTATTAGTGAAATTTGCCGCCAGCCCTCAGCAATGACACAATCGATGACAACCCGTAACAGATCGGTCGTTCAACTTCAATCGGGAATATTTAAAAGCCTCTATCGGTGATGATAGCCTCTCTTAGAGAATGGAAAGGAGGCACGCATCGGCGGAACTGGGAACTTTTTCTGGGGGGCCGGAAGGGCATCTCATCCAGGGGGTTCTGGGGGGCACACTACTGGGCTAAGAAAAAACGTCGTATATGAACATCTGAATGTTGCCAAATTTTCACCGATAAAATATTAATTTCCGCAGTAAGTTATAAACATTGACGGATCCAGCATATTAGCAACGTTGTTTCTCTCCATTTAAACCGATGGAAGAGTATCGATTCTTAGAGAGGCCAGGTGCTCCGAAAAGAATCGATTATTTAACATAGGTGTAAATGGAGGAAATCCGGCGTTGCCAAATTGCTGAATCCGCCTCTGGTTATATATAAATATTTTCTCTTGGAATTTCGGAACACTTTGGATCAATTTGCGAAAAAAAATCTCCAAAAAATTTGGCAACGTCTGAGGGTTCCCACGACGTTCGTATTTAGCATCGCAGCACAGTGTAAAAACGTTTCCCGATGAGTCGGATGATTGGAAACAATAGAAGTTTAACAATAGCTCGCTTTTTCTAACTTTGCACCGACGCACTAAACGGCATTTCAGAAGACTTTTGTATACATCGACAGCATGATGGATCAGTCTGACAGATACGTAAAATTAATATAATATGCTCAATTGCAACTCTGTACACGGAGAAAAAAACCTCGTGCGTGGGACCCGAAGTTCAGGTCATATGGATCTCTGAAGTTTTCGTATTGAGCATCCGAACACTTAAGGTCCAGCTGCTGAGGTTTGGATCACACATCTGAAACTTCAGTTCTTACATCTAAAGTACTTCGGTTTTTGACATCTGAAAAACTTCGGTTCTCACATCTGAAGTACTTCAGATGTAAGAACTGAAGTTTCAGATGTGTGATCCAAACCGCAGCAGCTGGACCTTACGTGTTCGGATGCTCAATACGAAAACTTCAGAGATCCATACGACCTAAACTTTGGGTCCCACGCACGAAGTTTTTTTCTCCGTGTATAAACTGGATTAAAAGCGTCTTAAAACACGATGCCAATATGCACGATGCGATGCACGATGTTTCTTCCACAATTTCCTGGTATATCTATGACTGAAGTCGAAAAACGTAAGTCTGCATGGCAACGTTGAAAAATCTCAGATTATGCCGTTTTTTCTTTTCAAAAAAGGGAAACGAACCAAAAATATGCCCTCCAAAATTTACATTGAATAGATTTGAATGAGCGGGAAAATTAACAGAAAATTTGAAAGAAAACTGTCGGTCAGGTTTCTTTAGAAACAATCGCAACGTCGCCATCAGAGAAAAACATTTTCCGATTGCAGCCGTGATTTCAATTTTGGAAACTTGACATTGCAAAGTCTGACTTATGTATAAGAAGTAAGAGTACAGGAAGATCGAAAAAAAATGTTTTTTCTTGAACTTGTCCTCCCATTCAGAGTGCACAGTCTGACAACCTCGGTTCGATTGGGGGTGGGGTGATTCTTTTAAGCGTATATTGTCGCGCGGTATTGACGAGAACATCCAACAATTATCAGATGAGAACGTGTATCAAGCGGAGGAGGAGCGGGGGAGGAGGGAAGGCTGGAAGGGGTGGGGGAAAGGGAAGAAAAGGGTGCGGGGGGGGGCACAAATGAAGGGGCCTCAACAAAGCGACGAGGCGAGAAAATGCACAGTGACGGGAGTTGTAAAGCTTGGAGGATAATGAGCCGAACTATCAATTATTTTTTTTGGACCTCTTCGTCTTCTCATGTATGAGGTCGAACCGGCTGAATAGACTTCTCTGGCGACTACGTCGATCGATTAATCGATGTCGGACGATGAGATTCTGATTGGCTCGTTTTGTTTTTGCCGCTCTCCAAAAACGCGCGAAAATCAAAATCAAAATAGAGCAGCAAAACACTGATTTTTGAAACTTTTTCATGCTTTCGATTCTATTAATTTAAATATGTAAATCATACTCCACGATGATATCATAAGAATAACGTATAACGCACGACGTAGGGCGCCGGAGGCGCGGAGCGCTCTAGTATCGTTAGAACAGTGATCACTAAAAGCAGCATTAATTGGTTTAACTAAAAAACCGCTCAGCATCAAGTAGCTCAATATTAGATCAGCGATGCAGTCAGGGCTCTTTAAAGACGCTTTCATGGACGTTCTATAGTCGTAGCGTCACCCATGTATCCAAACGATAATCTTTCCCCTGACATTTTTCAAATAAGAGTTATCGACCTACTTTAAACTAACTAGATTAAGTCTGAAATGAGGAAAAGTTTCGTTACAATATACATCTTTAGTTACCGTTAAAATGTATCACATATCAAACGTTGAGCAGTCAGTTGGTTATGAGAAGATAAGGCTTTATTTCAAAGAAGTAAAGCCATGTTAGTGTTTTGATTCAATTGGTGACGTCACTTTAATAGCGCCTACATATGTTCATTATGTGTCTAGTGCAAAAAGGTGCCTAAATCCATTTCAGTCATTTTCAGAGAAAAACCATAAACCTCAATTTATAGAGAACCATATCTCATAAACGGCATATGAGCTTTTCCCGCACGAATGATCCGTTTTTGAAGATATCCAAAACGCTATTGGCTAGTTGTGTCAAAGAATAAGAGTTAGGTTCCTTTCTGCACTGGACATTGAAAGGTCATTGCGACTTTCACTCATTGGCTCAGATTTCGTACTCAGTCAGGATTTAAGCTTGTTTACCTGGAGGAAGTTTGAATTTGAGCATATCCATGGCTACGACGTTGATGATGAGGACCCAGATGGGGCAATCGAGGAGGTCTGACTCCGATTTGACAAATGATATAGCACTGAGACATTGACATTCTAATCGTTTCCTGTCCGGATAAGCGCGACGCAGCTCACGGATTACGTTTTGCTGGAATTTCTTCATATCGAAAAGCTGCAGGAAAAGAAGAAACAAGCATCATAAAGCTGTTACTGGCCAAGTAAAATTGAAGGGATATTCACATGAGTCATTTGTACCGAGAAAATCAGGAATCTGCATCTGATAGATTCATTTCAATTTGTAAGGAATCCTCAAATTTAAATTAGTACATTAATGATTACTGGACACTGCCAGAGTAGCAAAGGCTACATAACTGCCAGTACATGGTAAAATTGGACTAAATCGAGGGAGGGAAAACAAGACGCATAAGCGCAGTTTTTGATACTTCGAGAAATACGTGTTTGAAGTTTCGAAAGTACACGGATCCTTTTGGCGCGGCGGAGAGAAAGTTCAAACTGACTTCTTAATGCTTAAAATTGGAATTTGGGAGCGAATTTTTCACAGAATGTGCATTAAGACTAGTTCTACTTGAAATCATTAAAATCTCAATTCTTTTCAAAAACTGCACTTAGGCGCTTTTTCCTCCAAGCCCTTCAATTATACAGTAAGGAGCCACCATTCCTGGCTCATTTTAGAAACAGCATATGTACATTTGGCTTCCCTGTGAAAATAAATGTTCTAGGAAAGAGCCAGAAATTCTAATTCCTTGGTCCATTTGGGTGCAAAAATTGCTGTAAAATTGGAGTGCGGTGCGTATTGCCTACCTAATCATTGAAGGGGCGCCGCGTGCTGTTTAATGTAATACTATGGAAATAAATTGTAATTTTTCTTGAAATTGTAAACTGCCTATTTTCTCTGATAATCTTTTTGTCAATCGTTTAAAGTTGGCATTGATATCGACATAATTGTAAGGAATATTACTGTTCCATCATTAAAAATTGCCATTTTATTACAAAGAATTGCACCCTCACTATAACACGACCTTGCAACAGGACAATTTATTGCTGCAGGCAATTTTACTGGACTAAATGAACTGGCATGACAGTTAAAAGCTAACAATACAATTCAGTCACCCCAAGCTTTCGATTCTATTTTGTTCTTCAAAATGTTTAATTATTTTCGTGCATAGTCAGAGAGCTGTAAAATGAGTCTTGCACATACCTTGACTGGTTTATCGACTTCTAGACAGCAGTTTGGGAGCTTGAGAACATCTGCACCGATACTCGTCTCCTCACCGTTGCTTGTGCTTTTGACGTAGACGTTGCATTTTGAAATCCGCTTCACCAGAATATTACCCTGTTCGTCCATCTTCACTTTGACACCCTGAAACAGAGATACCATACAATTATTTCAAATTTAAAACAAAATCAGCGAACATTGTAATACAATGTCTGAAAAGTAGTAGCACTGAATATATTGGTATTTGGAGTGTGGCCGAGTGCTAGAAATAAAGTAAAATTTTCTTGAAAAAACTTATATTTTATTAACAAACTTAGACCGAAGCTTTTCGAAGCAAACGCTTCATCGCCAGGGTCACAATATCGATATCACAAAGGCCATAATTTAATTTTAAACAAGGGAACAGATTTCATTGATGGTAACAATTGATAACAAGCTATTATATAATAATAAAGCTATATATAAAAAGCTATAATAATATAATAGCTTGTTATCAATTGTTACCGTCAATGAAATATGTTACCTTGTTTAAAATTAAATTATGGCCTTTGTGATATCGATTTTGCGACCCTGACGATGAAGCGTTTGCTTCGAAAAGCTTCGGTCTAAGTTTGTTAATAAAATGTAAGTTTTTTAAAGAAAATTTTACATTATTTCTAGCACTCGGCTACACTCCAAATACCAATTTCAAATTTGGTTGCCTAATCTCCAACTGCAACGGATTTGTCACGCTCGTTATACAATCGAGTTTAGACTATTGAATCTTTTACAGTGCAAAGTAAGTTTCTGCGTTCGATTTGAACTTAAAAAATTATCTTAACTTAAAAAATCGCGATTGACGTTCCCAACCCTCACGATTTTTTCCCTGAGAAAAATGAGCACCGGTGAGATGAAAGGACTTGCTCATCAAAATTTCGACTTTCAGTTTTGAGAAAACTACACTATCGCTAACGAAATAAATTATAGAAAAACGATTATCGTCGTCCGTGCTTTGTTATCAGAAGCATTAAATAAATATATTAGAGATTGATATAATTATTCTAAATTTGCTAGGCTCCTATCCATTACCTTTTTATTGAGCTGGTGCGCCATTTAAACGCATTGCCTCTAGTATACTAGAATTCTAAAGGCAGGTTGAAATAAAAAAGCGCTCCTTATCGGCTGAGCGATTAAAAGAAGGCACCACACTGGAAAAAAACACATTGGATCTAGAGTCCAGACTCTTAAAAACATCGACAAGAGAAAGTACTCTTGATTCAATCAGAACCTAGCTTAAATCAAGAACCGAGCCTCTTAATTTAGGCGGATTTCGTTTTGATTCAAGCAAAAATCCGATTGAATCAAGAGTATTTTTTCTAGTCAGTGTTTTCAAGAGTCAGGACTCTAGATCCAATGTGGTTTTTTTTCCAGTGCAAGGTGTGCACAAGTCTTGTCTTCATCTTATGTTACATCTGATAATAACTTTTTTTGTACCGATATTTTTGACAAAACAACACGTTAATGCCCTCCATTTTAATGCAATAGGGACGCACTGCCCCCGTTGTCTCTGTGGGTGATCTGCCCTTGATATGTCACCGCGTGAAATAAGCTTCAAATCATAACCAAAGATTTTGGGATCTCACAATTCTTTTATAAGCTTGCGCTATTTAACTGCCTTAGGTCGTCGGGAAATCAATTTCAAGAAGACCAATGACAGATTTGTGGTAAATTTGGGTGTAAGCTAGGACAATCAAAAGCATCATCGCGGAGGTTTTTTCGGATTGTTTCTTTCGACTCTTTGAGGATGGTACGTGCCTTCACGCATGCTCGTGCGGCCTCTCCTATGCAGAGCGATGACATTGCAAGAAATTCAATTTTTGTCGTTGAACAACACCCTTCCTACGTTGTCCATTCTGGCACGTAGTTTGAGGCAACAAGTTCGTTGGACTTTTAATCAACGCAAAAACTCTGAATAGTACGGCAAGAAGAAAAAATCTGAGAGGAATGTTCACAGGGTAACAGGTTTCTTTGGATTTCAAAGTTCCCTGATTATCTCTTGATTTTCAGGGATTTTTGGACCCAAAATTGTCTGCACTTTCAATGTGTTCTTGGTATGATTTCTTTTTCTTACGAAAATTGTTTAGGGCAAAGTCTCAAGTGGAAGAGAAAAATTTGAAAGTTCCGCAGCAAAATTCTCTGACTTTTTAAGGTTTTTCCCGACTTGCCAATAACTTGCCACCCTAATTTTTTCAATGAAAAAATTCAAAATTAAGATAATTTGATAACCAACTGAAAGACAACGACGTTATGTTTTATTAAGAAGAAAACAATTGATTTTTTCCCAGCGCCAAATTCTGCGGTATTTGCTAAAATTTACAGAATTTTGTAAACAAATAGAAAGAAAAAGAAAGTAACTCCACATTGGACCACATTTTGCAGCAAAGAACGATTCAGTCGGCACATCATAAAAACAACATATGAACCTAAAGGTTTACCTGAGCAGATAGTTGCACTTACGCAGGGCCGGATTAGGGAGGTGGCCAAATGGGCCGCGGCCCATGGCGGCAAATTTAGGAGGCGGCAAACTTTGCAATTTTTTTAAATGTAGGTATACAAAAAAAATCGGATTTAGGAAAAAAATTACAAACAAAATCTCTCATTTCCTGAGAGTATAGTAATTTCTAATTTTGTCGTCTTTCGGTGATACAAGAGACAGCACCTTTAATTAATCGAGTTAAGAGAGAGACCAAACACGCAATTTGGCCAGGAACGGCGCGACTGAGAGAGAAATAATGACGAGGACTTGAGATGAAAAGGAGAAGCCCTCGGCGCGGCGGTCGGCATGTAACACATATTAGCGCCTACATTCCTACAAGACTGCACGAATACTTCAAGCATCGCATCAAACTCACAATCAGTGCGGTTACTGCGGTCAGCGTTAAACGGATAGCGCCTACAAGAATGCATGAATACATCACGCATTGCGCCAAACACCGTGCGGTCAGCGTGAAACGCATAGCGCCTACAAGACCGCGTGAATACTTCACGCATTGCGTCAAACACAGTGCGTTCAGCAGCGGTCGTTAGCGTGAAACTCACAGCGCCTAGAAAGAAAAGAAATTCAATTTAAACAGTTTTTTGTTTTCTCTTTAAATTTTCCGTAACTTGTCAATACTCGCCTAGATTATTTTCTGCCGGGGAATAAATCAAATTTATTTACATTGAATTCAATAGGGCTGAGGAGTACAAAAAAATAACGACCAAAAACAGTACTGCCGTGCTTAGGAAGAACGCAGTATGAGCCTTCAGGCGTTGCCAAATTTCCCTTGATAAAACACGAATTTCTTGGTCAACTTTTGAATATTTTTCCCCCAATTTTTCAGATAATTTTACTCGCAATTTCACCGAAAAGTCCTGAAAATTTCAAGGGAAATATTCATAAGTTTTCTCGGAAATGAGCATTTTATCAAGGGTTTGGCAACGCCTGAAGGCTCATACGGCGTTCTTCCTTAGCACGGCAGAGTAAGTCTGGCACGGCAGTTCAGACGAATCCATCGTGAGGATACGTTACCGTTTTATACCATGCCTGCGACTACAAATGTGCAGTTGGATCATAAAAATGACTCCATTTTTTTAATCGTTATAGTAGGTGCGAGAACGCTCCCGGATTCCTGAGCGACAAGGTTAAAGAATAATGCCGTTAGGGTCAGCAAGGACATACGCAGACGGTATAAATAGACGTCTTCCACGGCTTTCCCGAGGAGAAAACAAAAGGACGCCTTTCTTTTCCAGTCATAAATTGTTTTCGAGGAGATGGAGCATAAACCGATATAAAGTTACAACCGAATAAACAACGCGGACGCCTTGACATAGTTTTAAAACTCACACGTGCAGTCGTTTCTTTTTTTTTTTAATATCTTTTTCGCGAAGCTCCAAGGTAGAAAAGTGACACGTCACACTGCAAACAAATTTTGCGAGGTATTGAAAATATGCACATGCGCAGTCGTGGCGAAGAATTCCTCATTGTGTCACAGCTGCAGAGCAGAGGATGTATCGATATGTTCCCTTTGAGGCTGTGGTAAGGAATCGATTATTACGGTATTGGTTGCGACCACCCTGGTAATCGATTCTCTTCCATTTGTATAATGGCGAATCAATCGATTCATCGTGAGGCGCGAAATGCCACCGAGTGTGAGCACTCTTTATGAGATGACACTGCTCCTCTTAATATTTTATTCATTTGCGACAGGGCAGAAATGCCTGCGTATCTGGATGGACGCGTGAGCCTTCAATCTCATTGGGTTAAAGGCGTGCAAGGGCCCATGGTAGATCGCAGATAGTCGCTTTAACTCGGCTTGCATGTTTGACTTTCGATTCACGCCTTACCGAGTTCCGATGCATGCCGCCTTGCTGTCAAACACTTAGTCAGATTCTTATCATCGCTGGCTGGGGTCACCGTAGATTTTCGAGTGAAATAGGATGTTGTCGGATTCATATTAATGTCTATGCCTTGCTTCCATGAAATCACGTATCTCGACCGCAATTTTTCAAAATCTCCCCAAATACCTCATTTTCAAGAAGTAATAACAAAAGAGTTCAAAATTATAGCTTTAAATATTACGCGGTAGCCGTAGAATGTTTTTCGAAACCCAAATCTAGTTTTCTGCGAGAAAATGAAGTATGCGCGGACATTTTGAAAAGAATTCTATTTAAATACGTGCGGTTTTGGAGTTTGGCACAGCTTTTTTCGACTATTTTAGAAACAACGTACACCTCAATTGTTTCCTTAATCACATTGATTATTTGTCTTTATTGAGATCAATATTTCGATGGCTCAAGTGCGAAACCACGTATCTCCGTTTGCGACGTTGCAAACTTCCTACCATAATTTATTTTTCCTTCGAAAAACTAGTCAGCGCAGTTTCTTGAAAACTTCAATGAATCTCTTCTCTGTTAGCAGAATATTCTGTTATATATTTCAATCTATGTAGTTTGCTTTCTTTTCTCCTCGAAAAAATAAAATAGAGGCGGACATTTTGAAACACCGCAATGGACATTCTTGGTTTCGCACTTTGGTCATCGATTTGCGCCATGATATACATGCGACTCAAAATTCGATAAAATTAAGGTGAGACTAAAAATATTCCTGATCTTATCTTTTGAACAGCCATTAAAAATGACCCGGGGTTTTAAAGATAAAAGCACGAATTTTGGGATCCCTTTCTTGACTCCTGTCAAAATGTATAATTCCGAATTTATGATATTAAAAGGACGTCAAGGTTCCTGGAATTGAAATTCATAAATGCCCATAACTTTGACAGTTTGATTGCATCACGAGATGAGGCACGAGCCATGTGCAGAGTGTAGCGGTACAAGTGACCTTTGTCAAATGATGAGGTCACCATCCAGTATAGATGACATAAACCTGGGCCAGGCACTGGTTGGCCCACATTGTTGTCATGCCCCGATAAAAAAAGATAATAATCGAGTTTTATGTAGAAACTGCTTGGAATCAGAAAACTTTGTGCCTCTGACGCATTAAAAAAAGGAGAAAAGTTTGCTGGTTCAGGGCGTCTACGAAAACAGAATGACCAGAAATCAGTACTTCCTCGGTGCTTTTTCAGTACATTCCCAAGAAATTCAGTACCTCTTCGACAGAAAAATCCAGTACTTTTTCAGTACCTCCAATTGACGAAATTCGAAAAATTTTAATTTTTCGCTCAAATTACGATAAAAATTACAAAAAATGAAAAAAATTCCGGATTTTTTTGCGGAATTTCCGAACTTTTTCAGTGCTTCCGGACCGCCTTTAAAAAATTAGTACTATTTCCGGACTTTACATAGTAGTTTCCATTTTGCAAAATGTAGTACAATCATGAATCCATATGGCTCACTACTGAAAGTGTAATTTTAACAGTTGTTTCTCCTCTGCGTAAGATGATGTCAAAATCTGACTATTGTGTCACACCGAAGATACTATCATTTAGAAAAAACGTATGATACATATCATTGCGAGGCGGCTTTTCGTTTTTAAAGAGGTGAATGGCCACAAATTGACCATCACGCGCCAGTAGTCGGTGCATGTACACGAGGCAATAAAAAAACGCCCAGACGATGCCGGCGGATAAGCCGTTCGCATCGGCAATATTTTCCCGATACTGGTGGGTGTCTCACACAGAGGAGTCTTCACATTCCTGACAAATCTCCGTTGCGTGAAAGTGTTTGACTGCCCGTTATTTCCTCGAGTTTTCAACCGGGAGAGGAAAAAACCGCCGAAGGCGTGCGACCGTGCGAGTCCGGGAGGTAATAAATCCCGAGGAGAGGTGCGATGATCTACTTTGTTCCATAACTCACCTTTTTCTTGATTCATGGCGCGCGAGGGTTTCGCATGATGTATTGCGACATGATGAGCGTGAAGAATCCTCGAATCGAAAACTTGCAGCTTCACAGCTTTAAATACTCGTCTCAGTTTCTCTTGTCTTTTCCTCTTCTTGAAAAGTACACTGGAAAAAAGTCGCTTGGATCTAGAGTCCAGATTCTTGAAAACATTGACAAGAAAAAAATACTCTTGATTCAATCGGATTTTTGCTTGAATCAAAAGGAAATGCGCTTAAATTAAGAGGATTGGTTCTTGATTTAAGCTAGATTCTGATTGAATCAAGAGTACATTTTCTTGTCGATGTTTTTAAGAGTCTGGACTCTAGATCTACGCGACTTTTTTTCCAGTGTAAGCTTTTTGCGCACTTCTCGTCATCTTTCAACGGGTCTGAACTTGTAGATGGGTGCATTGTTGCGAATTTGTTAGTATGTTGTACAGCAAAACGGTACGACAGAGGAGGGTTTAAAATCTCATCCCCTCATGAGATTCCCTCAATTTTTAAGGTGTTACGTAACGCCTTTAATTTTTCGAAGAAATAATTTACAATCGACTAAATTACGGGGTTGTGAATGATCGTTTGCCGAGAATTTAATATGAAACAACTATCTTTAACAATAATCTCGCCTAAAACCAAACTTCTGGTCCACCTGGGCGTTTTATTAGGATAATCGTCAAAGTTACTATTGCCAGTTTTCACTGTGTATTGAACAACGTGGTTTCTTAGAAACATTATTTTTTTTTTTTTTTTTTTTTTTTTTTTTTTTTACGAGGAGAACATGAATGCAGTGCTTAAAAGTTCGGCATGAATAAAACGATCTAGTCAGTGCATGTCTCATTACGGATGTCAGGCTGAAGCCATGGTCCTATACCTAGACAGCAGCGCGTCACGAGAAATTGGCTTCGCGAAATCCACCGCGCCCCCGGCCCTGCAACCGAATTTAATGATGATGAAGTAAAATTTACTGAAGTTTCTGGTCTTACTGCCAACAATGCCGTGTCATCTGTTGGACACTACATGATTGCAGATCGTCCCACCACTTGACTGTAGCTGAGTCTGACCTTGTCAACTTTTCTATTGATACATTATTTTAGAGCTTCACTCATGGAGTAGACCTTTGCATACTTCTACAGTCTATTTGCTTCCACCGAAGCGGTAGTATTTTTTGCCGAGGCTCATAAGAAGATATTAAACATGTCTAAAATCATTGCACCTTCATTGGAAACTCTACGTCGCGCACTGTCTGTGGAAACGTGCCTTTAGCGCCCGGCCCGCCAGAGGCGCAGCGACGCGACACTCGATGACAGATTGCATGGAACCGAGTCACGCCAAGCCGAGCTTAGGAGAGCTAAATGATTTTTAAGCTGCGCAGCTTTTCGGCCGAGCAAACCTTGACTCCAGATTGCTTAATGGTCCTTTCTTGGGTATTTTATAATTTATTTTTTACGGGCGAAAATTATGGTGCTCACCTGGCCGATGTGCTTTTTCAGCTCCTCCGTGTCGCGGTCTCGCATCGGGTTGTCGAAGCCGCAAAGACCGATCCTGCAAAGAAACAAATAAATATTGAGTTATTGTGGTGTTAATTTGAATCGCTTTAATCTAGTGTTATTTGCTGTTAATTAAACCATTCACCCATTGAGTGATAACCAGCCAAATCAGTCAATACGATCACTGAGGAGGCATTTGAAACCACTTAGAGTGAAAATCTCGTACAGTGTATACTGCTGAGAAGTCCATACAAAAAAACTCTGGAAGGATGTTGGGGGGACTTCCTAAGCTTCAAAGGAGGTTGGGCGGGGGGGATTGGTACCGGGAAAATTTTAAAAAATTGAGGCGTCTCAAAAGCAATTTCGAGCTGGTTTCAGGAACGAGTTGTTTGGAATACAATTTTAAAGATGAAACATGAATCATGCATTTATTTAAAAAAATTCCTCACATTTTCTGGAGGGGGCTAAGTAGATTTCTAGGGAGCCAAGCCCCCTCCAGCCCCCCTCTTAGTTCCATTTAGGCTAGATGCCGTACAGGGACCCTTTTCCTGTAAACATCCGTCCCCTACCAGCATTGACTGTTATATATAAAATCTCAAAAAACGTAAAAAAAACCGTAGAAAATATCACATTCGAGTGCAGTTTCGATATCAGTATCGAATGCGATATTTTCTCTCTAAAAAACCACGCCTTTACTACGTTGAATTTCTTTGTTAAAATTGGTAAGTGAGTGCTTTAGTCTCCCGACAACAGAATTATGATCTCAAAAATTGGAGGAAAATGACGAGTAGCTGAAAAAATGGAACCAATTGATGCGATATATCGCATGCCGTTCGGACACAAAATATGGCGTCCGTCGAATCACCTTAACCAAGCAAACAACTTGCCTTCGACCCCCGAAATTTTCCGCACGCCCTTTTACGGCTCCTCCGCGACGCGATGCGACAATGCGCCTAATTAAGGGCCCCATCAATCATATCCCCATCGTCCCTGCCGAATTTGAGAGCTGTCGAGAGTGGAAAGTGGGAGATTTTCTCTCCTTTTCACGGAGACGACTCTAAATGCGAGGTTTTGACTCCGGTTGCCCAATCTTGTTTACGCGGTTCTTTTGAATCGCCGATCGTGAATGCAGCTGCTTCGCTGGCTCATTCCCGCTGTGTCATCTGCAGTCTTCGCAGGGTGCCCACCAAGCCATAGACCCGGTCTTCGGCAGTGGGCCGGTTGCAATGGTCACAGAATCGTGTTCTGATGCATGATTCTTGTAGATTATCCTTCTTAAAAATCCCGGCGCGAAATGGAGATGTTGCATGTGTGAGGAATTTGAGATTTGACTGTTGATTCTTATGTAAAAGTTTGCGAGAAACACGATGGTGCTACTGGTTTTCTCTGAAATTAACTCCCAAGCTCAAAAAACGCTCTCAAGTTGAGGTCAAAATGATTGATGACGCTATCCTGAGAGTCGACTTCTACATCAATACAAACTCTCCATGCAAAGATAGGGAGCAAATACATTAGAAGTGATGCCGTGTTTTCAGTTTTAGAGTCCCCAAATAAAGTGGCAGCCCTGTCAATGTATTTGCTCCCTATCTTCGCATGGAGAGTTTGTCTTGATGTAAAGGTGGACTCTCAGGGTAGAGTGGGATATCCCCTCCATTTTGGCCTCAACTTGAGAGCTTTTTTTGAGCTTGGGAGTTGATTTCAGAGAAAGCCAGTGACACCATCGTGTTTCTCGCGAACTTTTACAAAAGATTCAACAGTCAAATCGCAAATTCCTCACACATGCAACATCTCCATTGTCCATAAGGAAGCGTTGAATCCCCGAAAGTAAAAGCTTCCACCTGCAGCCAAGAGGCCAGTGGAGGGTCACTTATCTATGGTTGATCCTCACACGTATTTCGTGGCGCGGACTTGCGGAGCACCCGTTAGCGGGGCTCGGAGCCTTGAGCCGGACTGCGTGCACAATGCGTGCATTAACTGCAGCGGGCGAGTGCACTTTTACGAATCGGGGACTTTGTTCGGGCGTCTTTGGGCGTCTTTGGCCGCGGTTGCCGGTCGTGGGTGCGGGGTTTGCGGTTGGGCCGATTGGATTGAACTCCTTTCGGGTGACCCCGGCCGCGGTCCCGGCCTTGTCTTGCCATTATATCCCGAGACGCGCCCGCTTGATGACTTGTCACTTTCACACCCAACACCCCCTCCCTCCCCCGCCCGTTCGCACCTCGTCACGTGCGTGCACGCGCCAACCTTCCACGCATGTCACACTCGAACCCTTTATGAGCGTCATTTCCACCGAATCTTGGAGAGGGCAATCGAAATAATTTAAAAAATGATAATAATAATCGACATCGATATAATTTTATATCGAACACATTTCGGACAAAAGCAGCGCAACTTCGACAGTTTTGCAGCCTCGCCACCTATTTTGGAAAGAGTGCCAAAATTTTATCAGCCCTTCCCTCCTTTTTCACCTAGTTTCAGCGCCGGCCCAAACCTTGTGCTTCTAGTGATTGCTTCTTGGCCAGTAGCGCAGCCGGAAAATTTTAATGAGAGGGCAGGGGAAGGAGGTGCCAAGAATTTCTCTTGGGGGGGGGGGAGAGGACGGCTAAAAATGAAAATTCCTGAAAATCGCGAAAAATTACGTTTGACTGGATCATTTTTCAGGCATTGAGAGGAGGGAGGGTGGCACTGACTCTTCGGACCCAGTCCTGGTTACGCTTTGGCCATAAATTGAAAAAAAATGTGCACACAGAAAAAAGCTTTGGTCTTAGCGATTCCCGACCAAGGAATCAAAGTTTTTGATAATACGAAATTAGCTCCGACTCAGGTGACCAAATTTATTGTTCGCCATACTAAGGCTTTTATTACTTATCAAAGATGTCGGTTACCTCGACTGAAATATTTTAAGCTATACAAGTACCGAAGTTTCTGCCGTTATCTCTTCCTGTCCAAGACATTTTACGATTTGCAGGAGTTTCTCTTCGATAAAGAAGAAGCTAGACTAATAGAAATATTCATACTGCTATACATTATATTCGGTTTGTACGTTGCCTATTTCGTCTGTCATCTCACTGAATCTATTTTATCTCATCGTCGTCATCATAGTTGGCAACAGGGTGCATGATACAATTTTTTTCACTTCGGGGTCCAATGCACCGGGCCGGCGAGTTTATGTAATGCACCGGCGAGTTGATACAAATGTCAAGCATTAATGCAGCTCTTAACTATAAAATAAATCTCCGAGGTGATGGCCACCGTTCCGAGCGCGTAAAAGAGATTTAGCTTCCTGCGGATGGTCATTTCTGACCCGCTGGCCCTGCCGGGAACAGGGAGAAGGAGCCGCGAGAATATCATTAACTTCAACTCAGACGAGCGGGAGCGGATCATTGCTCTGCTTTGTCCGGGATTTGGAAAATTGTCTCGCAGTCGGGAAGTCTCACGAGTTTCCTACACTCTTGCACCTGGTCAACCAGCGTTTCGGGTTGACCCTCTTGAGAAGGAAGAAGAAAATGCGAATTTTATTTAAAGTTCCGAACCTCTTTGGGAAGTTCTGTCCCGGATTGTCTCATCAATCACCAACACCAGTGGACACGGTTGTAACCAGATTCTATCAATCAGATCTGTTGGTTTTCGATGGGTCGAACCTTTTTTAGAACCACCTCGCGAGGTGATGCCAAAATCACGCATCAACGTTGCGATCATTCGTTAGTCACCGAAACGGCAGTTCCGAACTCAAATAAAATGGCAGCTCGAAGGTTCGGGCACCAAAGTTGTACCGAACCTCTACATAAAATTCACTTAAGGAGTGGTAACTTGGAGGAAGTAACTAGATGGTTTTTGCTGCAGACAAGACGAACATTCATGTGAACACTTTGAAAAACGAAATTCGGTCACGTGAACCGAACGTTTGGTGTTCCATGTCGCCTCAAATATTCGGTTTGTCAAACAGAACTTTCGGTTCGTATAACAGAACGTTCGGCATATATGACCAAACTTTGTTCGTCAGTTCACTTTACCGCACAAGTTCGGTTCCACGAACCAAAAGTTCGATTTGACAAACCGAAAATTCAGTTTGACGAACCGAATTAGTTGGGATGGTATATGGAACACCGAGTTTCGGTGCATACGACCGAACTTTTTTCTTCGATGCAAACTACCACATGGAAAATTGCACGAAAATCACAATGAGCATATGGAACTAGTCTAAATCTACATTTAAAAGCGCTAGATCCGCAGTTTGTGACAATATCTCCACATTTCCTGCGTACGTAGTTTCTATCTCTGTGTGGGCCCAAGTTTCGACGGTTGCAGTTGCCTGCATGTCAAAGGATTCACATTCGACGAAAATTGCTTAAATGATACCTATTTCAACTTCAAACGATTTGCTGGTTGATTTTTTTTTTCTGGACCAAATTGTACGATGTACGTCCTTAAGGGCGCACTAGTGCATGTCATTAATCATAGATTTAAAATGCTTTTGGTGAGCATTTAAAACTAGATCTTGATCAGGAAATCGTAAACTCTCTGAGTGAAGTTAAAAAGTATTCCAGAATGAATCGTTCCGGAGATGATAAAAATAGATGTAAAGACGGGTCATAAACACATAATTCTTTTTTTTAAGCTTATTGTGTTTCTAATAATAGCGTGGTTCATAACTATAAAAATGCAGGCGACCTTTACGTAACAAATTTCTCACAAAACTGCTCTAATTGCGAGTAAAATAAACGCAATTTTCAACAGTCATATCTGGGGGAGTCCCTAATACGACTTTCTCGCGCAGACGCAGAGGTGCGATTAAAATTACAAAGAGTATGAAATGTGTAAGAGGTCGTGAACTGCACGCCAGTCATTGACTGAAGCGTTTTTTCAGTTGGGATTGCCCTAGATGACGCGAGACGTAATTCCAAACAAAATCCTGATATTCGCGATTAAGGGTCTTAATTGTCGCTATTTTAATCCACGCCTTGAGTAACGCGTAAACTTTGTTCATATAATGCGCATTTTCCCTCCTCGTTTTCCGGTTTTGATTCAATAGTAGTTTTTTTTTATTTTACCGTAAAGAACAGCAGATTTGCGGTATGTTATTCACAATCCTGGCAAACGCGGTGATTTTTCAAAACAAAAGAGGAAATGCCAGTAAAAAAAAAATCCAGATTTTTAAAAATAGAACTTAAAACAAGAATGTTCGGTGCATTCTGACTTGGATCGAGGACGCAACGTTTAATTACAATTATTTTTTTACATCAATAATGTTTTTGTTTTACGAAACTTGTATGGATATCATTCACTGCACTAATCTTTAACCCTCATACAGTAGAGGTCTAGATTGAAAACATTTTTTTTTTCCGAATATAATGCACAAAATTGGTTTAAAAAGTGGGAAAACGCCTAATCGTGTAGTTTGAGAAAAAATCACATAGACATAAGCTAATAAAACCTCTCAGCCATTTGGAATAAGTATACAACAAATGCCACTTTTCTTTTTCTTAAGAGCTTCATGAAATCTACAATGGCTGAGTCAATAACAAGTGGATCCTCCAGTATCCTTACACTTACCATAATGGTACTCTAAAATCAAATTCTCGTAGTTTCTGATTGAACCGTCCCCATTTCAAGGTTTTTGTTCGTCACAAGCAAACGGTTCAATGGAAGGATTGACAGCCGCCAGAATGGACTTGAATGGGCATGATCGCCGTGACGAGAAGGGGGGGGGGTCGAAACTGTCGAAATTCACGAGGCTCTAAGAGCCGTTGTAAATTTCTCATGACAATATGACAGTTTCTCGGGTCGTGGCTGACATTTCAATCCGCGGTCGGCACGAAGCTGAAGGCTAGTGCTCCATTGAGGAACTGTCTACCCTCCTAATCAAAAACCACTTAAGTCGTGATAGAATCCTGAAGAGGGTACGCTGTTCTCGCATTGGGAGCCGCCCCGCCCGACGGAGCTTGACCCGGCTCCGTGATCCTACTCGCTCACGGAAAACCGCCCGACGAAAGAATTCTGCCGTGCTTGCCGAGAAGCGCGTAACTGCAGTGAAAACGGGGTGCACATACGCTGTTTTGACTGAGTGCAGCAGAATTCTGCACCCAACCCAGCCAAACCGCGCTGAAGTTGAGTGCTGCCATCGCTTCCGTCTTTCTATCTTTCTATACCCGCGTTTGAGTCTCTCGGCTGCACCCTGCACGTGCTCCGATGATGGGCTTCACGATGGGCTCTCTGCATCGAATCCATTCAGAACAGCGGACTTGGAGCAAAAATACGATCTCTCAATCCGTTTTCCCGATAGTAAGGGTACACTGAAGAATGCGAAGAGTTTATAAAACGTTATGATTACCGTAATCAGATTACGATACGCTTTTCTTCACTTCAGCAAACAATTTCTCACCTTCACTGATACACTGATAAAAATATTTATGTTCTTGTGTTATTTTTGCTTAAAATAGGAAGTAAAACACAAACCAACCCAAATTTTGAGTAAGGTTGCGGTGAATTTAGCGCAGAAAACAATAAAGAGACTGGGAAACTCCTATAAGTCAACCGAAGGCTTGGGTTATTTTGTGTTTTACTTCCGGTATTAACTAAATTTTTGTGTAAAGTTTTCTCTCTCTGTAGGGTTGCTGTGAGAGAGTGTAAATTGGGCAGAGTTCATCGGAAAGGAACCAACCCACGTTTTCGAAAATATTGAGTTAAGAATGTTATTGAGTTCCACTAGTCGTATGTATCCCCCCGCCAAAAACTCACAGTTGAGAAAAAAAAATTAGTCTGTGTTAGAAGGGGTTAAATTTTATTTTCTACATTGAGCTTTATGAAGCAATAAAACCTCAAAGCTTTTTTTCTCAGTTTCAACTTTATAAGGGTTGGTTCCTTTCTGCTAAACTCGGTCCAATCATCGGTTTCTAATTTGGATTATTTATAGCTCTCTATATAGTTAATTCGGTTTTTATGAAAAGTTTTAGTTTTGGAACTTACCTAAAGCCATCAAAACCGTCTTCTGAGCCATTAATTGTGAGAACAGGTGCTCTTGCGTACGCTTTTGCTACTCGCCGATTCTTTTCTAGCACAATGACTTTTGCCCAGATTTCGTCGTCTATTTGGGTCCATTTGTCTAAAACTTCTTGTATGTGATCCTGAAACAAAAAGCAAGAAGAGAACATGATTAATTTGGGATTAATGTCAACTAAAATGTTAGAGCCTTTTCACAAACAGACGATAACAAAACATTTTACCTCTGAAAAGGGAACATGATAACCTTAATACTAGTAAATTAAAGACTGCGTAAAGATTTGCTGAATATGTCTGATGAAGATTGAAATGATTCTACACTCTTAAAGGCCAAAGCAGCCTAAAATCATTTGCAAATTTTTTCTTCTTTTTACGTATTTAAATCAATATTACATGGATAAGTGCTCATTCGTGTTCAAACATGCATTGAATTGACAAATTTGAATACCAATATCTTTACGTACAATTTAAATATCGAATGTCCGAGGAAAACGGTTGCGATCAAAATAAGGAAAAACTCCACGTTTTACAAACTATTGCTCCCTGTTTACCACTCAATTTATCAAATATTCGTGGCCCACTCAAAAAAAAAAAAAAAAAACCAGGCCTTAGCATGATTGATCATCGTTGTATTGATGACATGTAAAGGAATCTCTGGCTAATTTCCTCCTGATAAATTCCAAGAATAACTTTCACGACTGATTACATTCACAAAAGCATCTTTCATCTCATAAGAGCTCTTTCATATTGAAATCTTGGGCCCACAAAAAAATTAGCACTTTAAGGTTAATAATTGATGGAAATGACAATAAGGGGAAAATGAAAGAAGAAGAATGGAAAAGAAAATGAAGAATTGACGGGGATGGAAACAAATAGGAAACTGATAGAATACGGACATAGAAATGCAAGTTAAAATCATGTTTTCCCATAGTAAGGTTTACGATTAAAGTTGTTTACGTATTCAAATTTTTTATATATAAGTGGTATAGTTTTCTTTTCTTTTCTTTTTTATTTTGTTATTTAAGTTTATCTTCAGCGTATGAGCAAGTTACTCTTTAAGGAGTTGCGTCCTGAGGAGTCGGAAATTAGACTATAAAAGAGCCTCGTACGACGGACAATGCATTTAATGTTCTAGGAGTGCATTTCAAGTTTCGAAGTAGGGATCATCCTCAAGAAAGCGCTGCCGGATTAGTTAAAAACGTCAGATTTCCAGGGTAATTTCAATGGAGATTCGAGGTTCTTCGGCATCCGGGCCGGGTCGTTGACTCCGGTTTTACCTATAGCTCAAGGCATTCTTAATTTAACAATAATTGCTCCCCACCGACGCAACCCGAGTGCATCTTTCTTTCTCGTTATCCTCGCTGTTAAGCGCTTTTTTGTTTACGTGCGCGGGTTTGTCTCGCTTTGCCCTCGACAAAATGTTCCTTGTAGTGAGGATTCGTGTTTCTATGGCTACAGAAATCATGTTGTGGAAAAATGGTTTAGCGTTACTTCATTTTAATCAGAAAAATATTAATCAAAATGATTTTGATTGCATTTCACGTTGCCTTATCCTCTCGTGGTTTCCCCCATTTTTTTTTCTTTCACAGAAAATTGAATAAGAGAACGCTTTTAAACTTTCTGTGGATCTACTCTGGATTAGGAGGAATATACTAAAAAAAGAAATTAAATACGTTCATTTTGCTATATTATAACGCGCATTTTTTGATCGACTCATTCGATCAAGTTTTGAGAAGACACGTGACTACTGAAGCCCGATATATAGTCAAATATACGCTGATTTTTTTAAAAAAAAGTTAAAATGTGACGAAATAAACAAAAAAATTTGCTGTTTCAGTCAAAAATTTCATGTTCGACCTCCCTAATTGACTCGATCCACTGTGCGCCACGTCAGGTGTCAGAGACATCAACAATTAGAGTAAAAACAACTCGGAAAACAGGGATTCCAACACTCGCACATTCGCCTAATGTGATTTGAGTCTTGACCAGGGGCTAGATATTAAGGTTTAAGTAAGTGCAAGGTAATTCAATTATTCCATCCTCAACCGTCCTCCCCTTCCTCTAATGTGCTTCACACGGTAACGAACTATTTCCTGGCGGTGGGCACTGATGACCAGATATAATAGATGCAACAACTTCACGTCATTAAGCTGTAAGCAGCACTCAGAGAGAAAAATTTCTTTGAATTTCTCCAGTTTTGGTTTGATGCCTTTTTTTCACTAAAAAGCGTCCTCCTGCGGAGTACATCTCAACTCTCAAAAATCTTCAGTCTACATCTGGTTGCTAGGTCCTTTCAATGAACTGTTGTGTGGGTAAGCCCAATACCACTTCAGCGATTCTTCATAAACTAAATAAAATGTTTTTCCGGTTATGTTTTATTTTTATGAAAGCCCCCCCCCCAAAAAAAAAAAAAAAAAAATAACTTCCTTTAAAATTTGTAGTGATATATTTGAATGAGAAAGAGAAATTCACAGACAAGTTTGATTGTAGGATCGCTTTCATAAGGGGCGAAGATTCGCAACGCCGCAATAATTGCAATACGCATTTTTCGATTTTGACCACGAATATTATTCTTAGCCATGATGTAAAATTGTTCGTGTCAGACATAGTTCAGATTATTACCTGGATGAGATTCTCGATGGAAGGATCCTCTTCCATTCTTGTGAAATTCGCACTTAAAACCTCTCAAAAATCGGCCGATACAGTGCACTAGCTGAATATTTCAGAATAATTGAATTAATTAATTCGACCAGCTGAATGCGTAAGGAGAATCACCGGAGAACGATAAAGAAGGAAAAAATACAGAGCATGAGAAAAGAATTTTGGCGGAGTTATTCCACTGCAATCACTACACTAAAGAATCAAAACACCGATTTGGAGAAAGGTATTAAAATCTGTATCGTAAAGTGTATTGAAATGCTAATTTCTGCACAGAAATTTTCGCGCGAACCCGCCAGGAGAAAACAACCTACTCGAGAAAAAAAAACTGAAATTTCGCGAGAACTGTTGTCCGCGGTTGCAATCGTAGCCGAAGAAATTTCGGCGCTAGCTGAGAGCGAGGCGGTTGCGAATAGGACTGAAGATGTTGAAAAAATTTGCGGCAATCGTGCGCCAATAACCGGAGGCAGCCAGCAGAGAGACAAAGTTGAAGGTCTAATAATATTACGAGCATTGTTGCTAGGCCACCGGGAAATTTAAGCACATCTGTAGAGGAATTTATCATTTTTACTGGCAGTTTGTAGACGTCGGTCGCAAGTATAACAACAAGATCAGCAAGGTTGCCGACTAGCAATGTGGATGTTTTGGATCTTGCTGGTTTTTTCTGTGGAGTTACCAGGGTAGCATGAAACGTAAGAAAGAAATGAAAGATTGGAAATTTCAGTGCAATTTCACGAGGCTGGTGAAATATTCCATATTTATCAGGGACTGGAGTACACTGAAAAAAAAAAACCACACACATTGATTGGATCTAGAGTCCAGACTCTTGAAAACATTGACAAGAAAAAGGACTCTTGATTCAATCAGATTTAAGCTTAAATCCAAAGGAAATCCGCTCAAATTAAGAGGGCTGGTTCTTGATTTAAGCTTAAATCTGATTGAATCAAGAGTATTTTTTCTTTTCGATGTTTTTAAGAGTCTGGACTCTAGATTCAATGTGTTTTTTTTCCAGTGTATGCAATCTGCACTCAAACACAAACAAATAGAAGGAAGTCACAAACTTCACACTTTGCAAAACATAAAAAGGAACCGGCATTTTTCAATGCCTTTCATATATTTCTGAAATTTCAAGATATCATTTTCCATGGAATTTTGCCACCCTGGGAGTTACCACTAAATCATCGTTTGTTGATCTGTTACTACCTATATCGTCTTGGCAATATAATGTCGTAAAATTGCACTTTTTTTACTTTTTTATGTGAATGCTGAATGGTAAATTGAGCAGGCAGAACCAAATCTATGATCAAATTTAGACCATGTTTAGCAGAGAGAATCCTTTTCCTCCCTTTCCTCAGAGATGATAAATCAACCACTGATTTTCTCTTATGAACATGTGCTTTTATAAGTAAACATGTCCATGTGCGTAGTCTATCTGCCTATATAAAAGTGGAAAAGTCATAGTGCGCACTTCATTGACAATCAAAATGCCAGGAATCAGGGTGTAGTTATACTGGCCGAAAAATTGTGGCATCGTAGACCTCCCTTTGCAAAGGTTCAGAGAGCTGCCTTATGGTGATACAGAGATCCCACTTATCGAGAGCAGATTGGCAACGTTTTGGGCGTGGTGGCGTTGATCGACACTTTTTATCCTCGTAAAGCCAATGCTATAATCGTTGAGTTCTGATTCCCTCCCGACATGTGATCGCTAAGACTGCCTGGCGGGTACATGTTGGTCTAGGCAGAAAGAGACTGAATTATGTCGGACGTTTGAATTTTATTGATCGACTGGGTTAGTTAGGGATTAAAACATGATGTAGGATATGATTTTTTGTGATACTCTACGATAAAGTAACTCGTCACACTTTTAGAGAGTATCCGTGAGTCATTTTGATGAGAACTTCAACGCGAGTCTCTTATCCTGTGGAGGAACTACTATTATTGGTTCCTTTAAATAAAGGTCATTTAAAGATATATTATCTTAAAACTCTCACGTCTAACTTGAAACTAACATTTCAAGACGCACAGGGAAAGGGGGGCAAAATATCCTTGCACCAAAAAGATAATATTTTCGGCACACTGGAAAAAAAACACATTGTATCTAGAGTCCAGACTCTTGAAAACATTGACAAGAAAAAACACTCTTGATTCAATCGGATTTTTGCTTGAATCAAAACGAAATCCGCTTCAATTAAGAGGCTTGGTTCTTGATTTAAGCTAGATTCTGATTGAATCAAGAGTACTTTTTCTTGTCGATGTTTTTAAGAGTCTGGACTCTAGATCCAATGTGTTTTTTTTTCCAGTGTTCAATGCGAGTCTTTTTTCCTGTAGAAGAACTACTATTATTGGTTCCTTTAAATAAAGGTCATTTAACCCTAGTCTGCCTGAGCCTCTGAACCAACGAGAAAGCCTGAGCGGGGTCAATTTGACCCCAGCTGAAAATCAATTAGTTAGCTATGTTTTTTTCATG